ACTGTATGTAGGCTGTGTGACGTTTTAAATTGATGTGTTTCAGTCCTTGACTAATAATGTTCTGTACTATGTATTATGTTATGTTTCATGTGGACCCCAGGAAGAGTAGCTGATGCTTTTGCAGCGGCTAATGGCGATCCTAATAAATACCAATACCAAGTCTATTTTTCTTGCATCTACGCAAAGTAATGCTGGTAAAGTGAGCAGATAAATTGCCAGAAAATAGACTGTGCATTGTTACGTCTGGAATTGTGACATGTATAGTTAAAAAGTGTGAAACTCGAGGAACTCCGTTCAAGAGAGAATACTGTTATGTAGAAAGAACAAGAGTAGCTAAATTCTTCATAAACTGCTAGTGTGTATTAGCTACAACTCTCCTCACCTTCATGAGCTAACATTACAGGAGGCCGGTACGTTGGCTCCCGTAGGATATATAAGGGGAGTCAAAAGGAACACACAACAATAATTCACAAGGGCTACATCGCGAACAGAACAAATACAACTGTTTATTATCGATTCTCATGACAATTAAGTTGGCATACGCTACGCAGTGTATGTGAGTTGACGCTCTCTACTCTTGCACTCAAATTTTGAAGTTGTTGACGGCGTGTGGTTTCAGCTTAAGGCAAAATCGAAAGGAGGGTGGTTGGTCGGGATGAATTGGTGGTCGTATAACGTGAACGTCTAGCAACCCAAAGGTTGCGTGTTCGAATCTCATCACGAACAACTTTAGTGTTTTAGATAATTAGCTACTTTTCAACTACTTACTTTTTAGTTACTTTGAAATTACTAAGCATGTTAGCTAACCCTTCCCCTAACCTTAACACTTTACCCTAACCCTAAACCCAACCCCTAGCCTAGCTAACATTAGCTACAAATTGGAACTCGTAATATATCATATGTTTAGCAAATGCGTAACATATTGTACATTTTAGCAAATTCGTAAAATATCATACGGATTGTAATTCAGAACATATCAGACGAAATGGATGATGGACATCCACAAATTAATGCACATCATACTTAAGTAACATACTAAGTATCATACTAAATGGAGTGTCTCGGATCTACATACAGATTTATATGAAATGCTCTGAGACCAGGTTGTGAGAACATATAGCATTCAAGTTTATAGGGAACATTTTCCTGGCCATAGGCTACATTGCTGGGGGGGTGGGGGGATGGTTTAAATAACATCAACATCATGGGTGTAAGGGTTGGTGTGAGGTGTGACCCTGGTGCGGTGCAGGATAGACAGTAGGCAAGGATGGTGAAACAAGGATCTTTACTTGTGGTCCAAAAACCAGGATACAAAACAACGGACTATACACGAAAACAAATGAGGAGCACATAGGTCTCCAAAAAACAGGCTGACAGCAAACAATACGAAATACTAACTCTGACTGGAAAAACACAATGACACAGGGAGAACACTTCTCGAGTACCTGTAACTCTGTCACTGTGATGAGGTGTGAATGAAGGAGTCAGGCGCAGGAGGTAAAACACCAAAGTCCAGAGTTTATTCCGTTTACATAAATAAAACGCACCAAGCGTCAAAACGAAACTATCACAAGGGAAATATTCCACCATGGCAATAACAAATGGAAGAGTAGCTCAACCGAGCTACTTGCTCTCACAAAGAAACAATCACTCACAAAGACAAGGGGAACAGAGGGAACACTTATACACATACTAATTAGGGGAATGAGCACCAGGTGTGTGTGATTGACAAGACAAGACATGACAGGTGGAGTGATGAGAATGGGATCGGCAGTAGCTAGTAAGCCGGTGACGACGAACACCGAAACCTGCACGAACAAGGAGGGGAGGCAGCCTCGGCGGGGAGGCAGCCCCACTCCTGTAACACATGGGCATCCAGTGCCATCCTCTTCATGTTTGTGTATCACCAACCAATTGTTCAGTACTTTGCCATCAGTGTTAAAATGAAAGAGCGTAGCTACTTTTCCATCGCTAAGAAGGAAATGAATGCCCTAACATGGATTGGCATTTTCTTTCTTTTTTTCCGTATCTCTATCTATGTGACAGCATTGTTAATATGCCTCTAATTACTATGTTGTGGTAATGTTGTGACAATGTTGTGCCAATGTAGTTTGTTATTGGGTGCAATGTGTCAGATAAGGCTAAATACATTGGCTCAACATTCTCACAACATAGTAATAGAGGCATATTAACAATGCTGTCACATGTTAAATTGTCATCCGGTTCAAAGGATATGCTTGATACCCAAATAAGATTGACATAGACATCTCAATAATTCTGTATACAGTTCTTTAGACTTATCCAGAATAGAATGACAGATTATTGGAAACACAATCCCATTTTCATGCTACTTTGCCTTGCTGTCTCCGAGTGGATATGGTCTCTGCTTAGAGCAGGGTGATTTCATTCATCCATCCTCATTCATTTGATTAATCTCTTCAATTATAGGTATTTATTTCATGCTTGCCAAACAAGTATCCGACAGCAGTAAAGGCAGAACTCTTTCCCCCCTGCTATGTGGGACAGAAAAAGTAGGTCTAAACCAATCACTTGAAAGACTTAAAGGTGCAATATGCAGAAATTGCTCCACCATTTCCTGGTAGCTAAAATTATATTATTGTGCCTAATTTCAGTTTATGTGAGAAAACAAGCAGTCATTGTGTAGAGATTCATAGTACCATCTAAACCGCTCTGAAATATATTGACCATAACCAAAAACATTGTATTTTCAACTGTTTGAAGCTGGTGTACAAAACCGAAAGTAAATTCAAAAACGAAACGTAAGAAGGGGAAGTATGGAAATAGCGCACATAGAACAGATCTACCGCTTCTTAGACTTGCTTTCAATTAGAATTTTGGTGAGATTTTCTTCTCATAGCTAAAGTAAAGCGAGGAAGAGAAGAGACAATTGGAGCGTATCACTTGGCCATCTGTAGAAATGTCAGACTGGATCAAATCTCGCATATTATTATGTCTTGCCTGACAGATGGTCATATCCAGAGAGACTATAACTCCATTTTATATCTTTGCACATTCTGTAGGCCATCAATCAATATAACTGGGCTTTCTGAACAGGGAGGCAACTGAGGTCAGTTTGTCAGAAACTGGTCAGAAACGCTCAGGGGAAGTAGCCTACAGCAGTAGTGCTGAAAAAGTAACACTCAACCCAGTACTTCTTCTGTCCCAGATAAAACCCTTAAAAATAGTTTCATTCCATGTCAACAATGAATACATGTAATATATTTGAGCTAAAAATAGACGTGAAAATATGTTTTGGCCAGATTTGAACTGTTTTCCAAAGCGTTTCAGGGGACATCCTGCTCGTGCTGTTTTGTTCGACCCTTTTGTTCGTGTGTGTTATGATCCAGGTGTGATACAGCTCAGGCAGATGTCTTTACCTTTCCATATGCAGTTTCCATGTTGTCGTCACGGTGACAACAGATAGGCAGTCATCGCCGGGCCACCTTCCACAAACAACACTATCAACACAATAGTGGCAGATGGGTGAGACCCTGGTGTGTTTACACTGTAGGCTGTGTGTGTGTGTGTGTGTGTGTGTGTGTGTGTGTGCAGTAGTGCTTCTCAACTCTGATCCTCAGATATCCCCAAGGTTGCTCATTTGTGTTCCAGCCTAGCACCAGGACACCTCATTCAACTCCTCAACTAATCATCAAGCCTGTTTGAATTAGGTATACCTTGGAGGTAGCCTACCTACAAAAGGACTGGAGTTGAGAAACACACAGACATACAACAGACTCAACCTTCCAGAAAGAGTTGCCTCCCTCTCTCTTTTCTCTCTCCGTGTGGGATCCTATAGAGAGGTTTGAGTGCCCTTTCAACTACTACAGAGTTCATTAGCCACATCATGTCTTCTACTGTGAAACATTATCAGAGATGCAGCCGGGGAGATCAAGGCTATGGGAATTATCCTGTGTCACTGTGCGGAGGAGAGGAGAACAGGATTCATGGCAGAGGCATTTAAAAATATATATTATTATTTTTACCCCTTTTTCTCCCCAATTGGTAGTTACAGTCTTGTCCCATCGCTGCAACTCCCGTACGGACACGGGAGAGGCGAAGGTCGAGAGCTGTGCGTCCTCCGAAACACAACCCAACCAAGCCGCACTGCTTCTTGACACAATGCCCGCTTAACCCGGAAGCCAGCCGTACACCTGGCGACCGTGTCAGCGTGCACTGTGCCCGGCCCGCCACAGGAGTCACTAGTGCACGATGGGACAAGAATATCCCTGCCAGCCAAACCCTCCCCTAACCTGGACAACGCTGGGCCAATTGTGTGCTGCCCCATGGGTCTCCCGGTCGCGGCGGGCTGCGACAGAGCCTGGACTTGAACCAGGATCTCTAGTGGCACAGCTAGCACTGCGATGCAGTGCCTTAGACCACTGCGCCACTCGGGAGGGCAGAGGCCTCTGATCAGTGACAGAGCGCGTGAGTGCGGGACACCAGGCGGAGACTGTGCTGATGGCATCGGGCCTAATCACTAGATTAGTCATCAGATAGCCTACCCCGCCTAGCCTAGCCCCCTGACGCACACTGCTAATTAGGAAGTGGAGAAGTGGAGAAGTGGAGCGATGTGCCAGAATATTAGAGAAAACAACAATACTTCTTCATCATCAACTTTTTTAATTGGTATTTTATGTAACACGTCTTGTACTAATTGTTCCTAAGCTAATGTGGGGTGACGCAGTGTGATTATGCACAAATTCAACCTGGCCCAGGAAATCAACACACACACACGTACACACACACTCATCTAAACAATGGCATCTATAGTTGCAAGTTGCACTACATCCTTATGGATCTCTATGAGGGATAACATCTGTTTTTCTTCTGTGTAGAGTGAGCCTTCCTACAGACCGAGGATGACCTAGAAGCCACCACTGCTGAGCCCAACAGAGCAGGATATCATTCTTGTGTGTGTAAGCAACAAGGTGTGTGACAGAAAACAGGGCTCCACCAGCACCCGGGTCAGCCTGTCAAACATGGAGGGCCACGTCACACTGCTGCCCCCCCTGCTGCTGCTGCTCCTCTGTAGCCTGTCAGGGGTGTGGGGGTTCCCCTTCGGCCCCGTCCTTGACATGGACGTCACCCCCAGGACCACAGTGTTCTCCCAAGGTAAGATCAGACCAAGGCTCCAGCTCTGATGTACACTCTTAGAAAAAGGGTTCTAAAAGGGTTCTTCGGCTGTCCCCATAGGAAAACCTTTTTTTGGCTCCAGGTTGAACCCCTTTTGGTTCCAGGTAAAACACTTTTGGGTTCAATGTAGAACCCTCTACAGAAAGGGTTCTATATGGAACCTAAAGGGGTTCTACCTGGAACCAAAATGGTTCTACCAGGAACAAAAGAGGGTTCTTCAAAGGGTTATCATATGGGGTCAGCCGAGGATCCCTTTTAGGTTCTTTATTTCTAAGAGTTTATACTAGTTTGACCCAGAAGGTTGTCCTGTCAACGAGACTGCACCTGACCTAGGGAAAACTCTGGGACCTAGCTATAGGCTGAGGCCTAGGAATTTTTCCTGGTCAGATCACATGGCCTGGAAAAACTCCTGGCTCTACTTATAGGACATCTACTGTATACTAGTATCACACTTGGTGTCCTGATTCAATACAACTGACTTTAAACAAGTGGCACAGTTTTGGAATTGGCCCTAAAGACAGCCAGCCCCTACTTCCAGGGAGTTATTAATCATCTCTCTCAAGTCAAGTCCTAGTTCACTTAGTTCACTGTGCAGCTCTAATGAAACACTAGAGAATAGACAGAAGCTCCCATAGAATATGACCCCTCTATGGTGGAGCCCTGACCAGTGCCTGTGTAGAAAATGAAATAGTACTGAATAGGGGATTTTACAAAGAAGGGGTGAGGGTACATCATTTACACGCATCAGCATCTCTTTCCCTCCCATATCAGCTCAGCCTCTCTTTCTCTATCAACTGCAGCAGAATCTATCCACTGATCAACCAGCAGAATCTATCCACTGATCACCCAGCAAGCTACTGTAGCAAAGGGATTACCCAGCCCTGGCAGGCTCTTCAGGTGACTATTCTGTACCTGGCTGCTCTCTCCTCTCCACTCCTCTCTACTCCTGTCTCGAGAGGAGGAATATTATTAACAGAGGAGGGGAGTGAAGAGAGCCGGGTGTATCGCCTGCCTGGACTGTGATGCAGTCACAAAACCAGGCTATTACAGTGGAAAGAGATGGTTAGAGATAAGATTGACAGGACTTTTAGGGGGGTTAAAGGGGACATAAAACCACCCAAAAGAATGGGTTGAATATTTCTTCCCTCTACCCATTCAGGGAAATGGATTCCAGATAATTTGATATGTAAGTCTTAGTAAGTTCCTATGGTCTTAGTAAGAATCATGTTATTTTGTTCAGAAAGCCTCTATTGCTAATTTGGTACACTATTTTATTATAGACGTGTGTGGTACAGAGTCGGTTTATCACATTTTTCTATTTTTCTCCTTGTCCTTGTAGAAGGAAACCCGTGACCTACATTCAGACTCCCATGGGCTGTGTGTGTATGTGTGCGTGTGTGTGTGCGTGTGTGTGTGTGTGTGTGTGTGTGTGTGTGTGTGTGTGTGTGTGTGTGCGTGCTTGTGTGCATGCATGTATGATCTCAAATCTGCACATGCATGCACCCCCAGTCACTTTACCTTAGGCGAAACATGCCCCAGTGCAGAATGAAGTGTAGAGTGTAGAGAGTAGCACCTCATAGAGAAAAATGGCCGTAATGTGTATGAAAAGGGGGACTATTTTATGTGGGTGGTGCTGGTGGTGGTACTGTATGACCACCATTGGTAGTCTGAGAGCACAGCTATATTCATCTCTGTGGGTGGGGTGAGAGGGCGATCATTAATTTGCTTTGTTTTACAGTTGGTCTGTAGGAGTAGGTGTACATTGACTCGCAATAAAACGGAGCAAGGATTTATAAGCTCGCTAAGAAATGGCATATCTGACATACTGTAATTTAAAAAATGTGTATGCGTGCATGTTTGTGTGTGTGTGTGTGTGTGTGTGTGTGTGTGTGTGTGTGTGTGAGTGTGTCTCTCTGTGGTTAGATGAATGCTTGACTCTGGTCTGAACTCAAGGGAGGAACCTAAGGGATTGTCTCCCACTCTCTCTGCTGGTGCCAACCAGACCTGAAATAATGGAACCATGCATGCAATATTGATGCATGTGTAAGATCTGTCTACTGTTGCTATGAGGAGAGAGTGCAGCGGAGGTCTTGATAGTAGTGGATTTCTATGTATTATTTAGTCATTGGTTTAGAATATTGCAGTTTCTTCAGTTGAAAAGAGGAGATTTTATGTAGACTAGCATACCACTCCTGAGGCATGTAGCTATGTTCAGGGCTTGCGATTGTAAGGTTAATAATTGGCAATAATGACCTGTAATTCACATATATTTAGTCAAGTCAGTTGTTGTGTCTAGGTGAACAGAAAAAAGGACAGGTTACTCAGTAAATCACTAATGAGTTGACATGGGCTCAATCTGAAAACAAGTGTTTTGTCTCTCTCAGCCCCTAGAGTCTATCTCTCTGCCTTTCGTTCTTCTTGTTGGATGCAGCATCTCACAATTTGTTCTCACCAGTCAGTGTTTGCAGAAAATGGCTTCTTTTAATGTGACACTCCTCTGGTGACAATAGAGAGGAATTGGACATCTAAACCCTGGTGAGTTATCCAGTGATGCTCTGATCGATTTCTTTCTCTGGTGTTCCCTGGGCTTGGTGGTTGTGACAGGATCTTAGCAGAGACAGACTCTGCCTAGATACCTGAACTAGCACCAGGATAGGAGTTGTATACTGTATGCACTAACTGTAAGAGTCTTTGCTACCATCATAAGATAATATATCTGCTTTTTGTTATTGCTGTGCGAGCACTGCTTTCATTGTAATATCATCTTTCAAAACACTCATGGTAAAAAAAAAAATATTCGGAAAAACACAGTCAGGCTGATAAAGATAAATAGAAAGGGTTACATTGTGACAGACAACCACGAGAGCTGCATAAGGCCAAAACCACAGTACTGCCAAACATCACAAGTATGATGGTAAATATGACAGACCACTCGTGATAGAGAGAACACACTTGTTTATGTTGACAGTGTGTGGGCTGTTCTATCCTGATGATTCATTTAAGGAAATGAAGCCACTAGTGGTGAGGCAGCTATGCCGATCCTTGGTTGAAATAATCGATTTTTAGATATTTTTAGATAGAGAAAATAGGATACAGGAAATGTACTCTTGATCATTTAATTTTGTCAAACTTCATTTTAAAAGAAGTCAGTACTTTATAGTCTTGCTTCTCAAGATGTACATTTGGGTGAAATGTAGTCCAATCATGTTCTATTCAGAAATCTATGACTGTTATGACCAGAAGGCTAGCACTCCTACGGTTTGCCTTGTCTGATATTGGTAGACCATTGGCTTATATAATAACATTGATCAACTTAGCAACAGCTGACAGTTCTCACCAGTTTCAACAGTGGTTAAGTCATGTGTTGTCCCCCCAGCACATGTACCCATGTGTGTGTGTGTGTCATGTGCCTGTCTTAGTCAGCCAGAGAGGATCAGGCGTGCGCATTGAGTCACAAGGGCAATCACACACAGAACAGCTCTATCCTCCCTCAATCCATACAGACACACACTGGATTTACTGTGCTTTTGGACGGACCCCAAGGAGAGGAAAACAGACAGACACACACACACACAACACAACACAAACACAAACACATCCTTTGCTCTTCTATCCATGAAAGCACCTGTAGGGACATAAACTCTTCACATACATAAACATACATAAACACAAATGCACCCTCAGACCTCTTCTGATGCTGAGAAAGCTGTCCCTACTTTTGCTCTGTGAGCCAGGTGAAATAGTATAGGTGCAAAGTGTGTGTGTTCAGTGTACACACAAGGTGCATTCAACGTGCGGCACTAGGGACAGGGGTTAGAGGTCACAGCGACAGCCACCATCAGATCCTCCTATCATCGCTGCACGACAATGGTAAATAGAAGAAACCGCCCCATCGGCTCAGACTCAGCTGGCATGCTCCGTCACTTTGTTGACTCTCCTCATCGATTTGTTAATGGAGCACAAGGTGCAGCTTGTACTGTGGGTTTAGAACAGGGACCGTAAGCCAGTATATGTCTCTCTCTTTCTCTTTTTCTCTTTCTCTCTCTCTCTCTCTCTCTCTCTCTCTCTCTCTCTCTCTCTCTCTCTCCTCTCTCTCTCTCTCTCTCTCTCTCTCTCTCTCTCTCTCTCTCTCTCTCTCTCTCTCTCTCTCTCTCTCTCTCTCTCTCTCTCTCTCTCTCTCCTTTCCCTCTCTCCGTCTTTCCCTCTCTCCCTGTCTCTCTCTCTTGGTCTCTGTCTATCCTGTACTCTCTGTCTGCCTAATAGATTCTTGTTTTTTCCGTAGTTGGGAGGAAGCTGGGCTGTCCTAATACTTATGTATATATAATCGTATTCTTCTGTATTGAGAAAAATTTACCTACTATGACTGTGATATATGTTTGTCTCACCTAGCTATCTTAAGATGAATGCACTTACCGTAAGTCGCTTTGGATAAAAGCGTCTGCTAAATGACTAAAATGTAAATGTATAACCGACAATTATGAGCAATAACTGAACAAAAAAAGAAAATCGTCATAATCGTTTTAATACATTCATTGTAAGATTCAACTTTATTTTCAAGTAGATTTACCCAATATAAGTTTTTCATTTTAACATGAAGAGGGTAATAATTTTACGATCAAAAAGGCACGGTCAGAAGGAGAAGCTTAAATTCCAAATGTTCCATGGAGTCAAAAACATTTGTTTTTGAGACAGGGGTGTCACCAAAGCTGTGTTGTATTCATTAGGTATGTCATAGCTCATTTTCATTATCATACATTACAAGCTCCCAAAATCAAAAATGACAATAAAAATGTGCATGACAATTCATTCTTACCCAAAATTCAATAATCGTCACATCCCTACTTATGTGCTTGTTTGGCCTTAGAACGTTGCCTTCGGAGCAGCTCATAGGTCAGGCTTCTGACAGACATCAAGGACACTTCGCCCCAACTGCCTTGGGCGGCGGCCATTTTGCGTCATCCAGATCATCGTCATCATGGTCGGCCTATTTTTAAAATGAAGAATCCAAGGCTATTCTTGTGCACACACTTGGATTAGTCATAGAAGAAATGAAAAATTTGATTTGTTTTTACATTGCCACAGGCTGTCATTGTGTTAGCATAACTGTGCAAAATAAAATAATCTTGGGCAAAACATAATGTTATTGTGGGGTTAAAGTTGGGTTTTGAGAAAGGGAGAGTGATAGAGAGTGTGAGTGTGTGTTTGTGTCTGTCTGTCTGTCTGTCTGCCTGTGTCTGTCTGTGTATCTTTGTGTGTGTGCGCACGTATGCTTGTCTGTGTGTGTTGTTCTGTTTGTATGTGCCCTGCTGTGTCGTGACTGCCCCACCCCCACCTTCCTGCATAACCTCCAGTATGTCCTGACCTTTGAGTTGGTCAGTGGATAAGAGATGCTCATGGCTCACTCATGGCTCAGCCTGTCTCTCTGCCTGCCTGTCTGACTATCTCTCTGCCTGCCTGGTGCCCTCCTGACTCAGTCTGGTTGTATGGAGGGTTACTGGAAGATAGTCATGGGTGCTACTTGTACTATCACTATTGTATCCCTGAGAGACTGTTTGTGTGGGGAGGAGGTTTTCAAACAGGTTTGACAGCATAATGAAGTGACTTTACCAGTGACAAGTGACAACATGTAGTATTTGTTGTAGTAACTGGCAATCCCAATTTGTTGTCATTTTAGCCATTGCGGTCTGCGAGGGTGGTTGAATTATGCGAATTGTGCACCTGTCCTCAGAAATGTATTGAAGGATATTCTCTACTTCTTTTGTCAGAAACTACAGTAATGCATTTGATAACATTATTAACCTTATTAGAAGAACCCAATAAATCTGACTGGCAGGATTGTGTGTATTATAAGGATTGTCACAGTGTGGTCTCACCTTAGTGTGTTTTATTGAAACAATTTTTCAATCCTTATAGAATATCAAAGAGTCAAAACATGATTTAAATGAACCACATGGGCTATAAAAATAAAGATAAGATAAATCAAATCAAATTTGATTGGTCACATATACATATTTTGCAGATGTTATCACAGTTGCAGCAAAATGCTTATGTTTCCAGATCCAGCAGTGCAGTAATACCTAACAATACACACAAATCGAAATAAAGAAATATCAGAACGAGCAATGTCCAAGTTTGAAAAAAATAAAATAATATATATATATATATATATATATATATATATATATATATATATATATATATATATATATATATATATATATATACAGTGGGGGAAAAAAGTATTTAGTCAGCCACCAATTGTGCAAGTTCTCCCACTTAAAAAGATGAGAGAGGCCTGTAATTTTCATCATAGGTACACGTCAACTATGACAGACAAATTGAGAATTTTTTTCTCCAGAAAATCACATTGTAGGATTTTTAATGAATTTATTTGCAAATTATGGTGGAAAATAAGTATTTGGTCACCTACAAACAAGCAAGATTTCTGGCTCTCACAGACCTGTAACTTCTTCTTTAAGAGGCTCCTCTGTCCTCCACTCGTTACCTGTATTAATGGCACCTGTTTGAACCTGTTATCAGTATAAAAGACACCTGTCCACAACCTCAAACAGTCACACTCCAAACTCCACTATGGCCAAGACCAAAGAGCTGTCAAAGGACACCAGAAACAAAATTGTTGACCTGCACCAGGCTGGGAAGACTGAATCTGCAATAGGTAAGCAGCTTGGTTTGAAGAAATCAACTGTGGGAGCAATTATTAGGAAATGGAAGACATACCATTTGATAATCTCCCTCGATCTGGGGCTCCACGCAAGACCTCACCCCGTGGGGTCAAAATGATCACAAGAACAGTGAGCAAAAATCCCAGAACCACACAGGGGGACCTAGTGAATGACCTGCAGAGAGCTGGGACCAAAGTAACAAAGCCTACCATCAGAAACACACTACGCCGCCAGGGACTCAAATCCTGCAGTGCCAGACGTGTCCCCCTGCTTAAGCCAGTACATGTCCAGGCCCATCTGAAGTTTGCTAGAGTGCATTTGGATGATCCAGAAGAGGATTGGGAGAATGTCATATGGTCAGATGAAACCAAAATATAACTTTTTGGTAAAAACTCAACTCGTCGTGTTTGGATGACAAAGAATGCTGAGTTGCATCCAAAGAACACCATACCTACTGTGAAGCATGGGGGTGGAAACATCATGCTTTGGGGGTGTTTTTCTGCAAAGGGACCAGGACGACTGATCCGTGTAAAGGAAAGAATGAATGGGGACATGTATCGTGAGATTTTGAGTGAAAACCTCCTTCCATCAGCAAGGGCATTGAAGATGAAACGTGGCTGGGTCTTTCAGCATGACAATGATCCCAAACACACCTCCCGGGCAACGAAGGAGTGGCTTCGTAAGAAGCATTTCAAGGTCCTGGAGTGGCCTAGCCAGTCTCCAGATCTCAACCCCATAGAAAATCTTTGGAGGGAGTTGAAAGTCCGTGTTGCCCAGCGACAGCCCCAAAAGATCACTGTTCTAGAGGAGATCTGCATGGAGGAATGGGCTAAAATACCAGCAACAGTGTGTGAAAACCTTGTGAAGACTTACAGAAAACGTTTGACCTGTGTCATTGCCAACAAAGGGTATATAACAAAGTATTGAGAAACTTTTGTTATTGACCAAATACTTATTTTCCACCATAATTTGCAAATAAATTCATAAAAAATCCTACAATGTGATTTTCTGGATTTTTTTTCTCATTTTGTCTGTCATAGTTGACGTGTACCTATGATGAAAATTACAGGCCTCTCTCATCTTTTTAAGTGGGAGAACATGCACAATTGGTGGCTGACTAAATACTTTTTTCCCCCACTGTATATATATATATATATATATATATATATATATATATATATATATATATATATATATATATATATATATATATGTGTGTGTGTATATATGTATATACAGTGCCTTGCAAAAGTATTCATCCCCCTTGGCGTTTTTCCCATTTTGTTGCATTACAAGCTGTAATTTAAATGGATTTTTATTTGGATTTCATGTAATGGACATACACAAAATTGTCCAAATTGGTGAAGTGAAATGAAAAAAATAACTGTTTTTTTTTATAATGGAAAAGTGATGCGTGCATATTTATTCACCCCCTTTGCTATGAAGCCCCTAAATAAGATCTGGTGCAACCAATTACCTTCAGAAGTCACATAATTAGTTAAATAAAGTCCACCTGTGTGCAATCTAAGTGTCACATGATCTGTCACATGATCTCAGTATATATACACCTGTTCTGAAAGGCCCCAGAGTCTGCAATACCACTAAGCAATGGGCACCACCAAGCAAGCGGCACCATGAAGACCAAGGAGCTCTCCAAACAGGTCAGGGACAAAGTTGTGGAGAAGTACAGATCAGGGTTGGGTTATAAACAAATATCCGAAACTTTGAACATCCCACGGAGCACCATTAAATCCATTATTTAAAAAATTGAAAGAATATGGCACCACAACAAACCTGCCAAGAGAGGGCCGCCCACCAAAACTCACGGACCAGGCAAGGAGGGCATTAATCAGAGAGGCAACAAAGAGACCAAAGATAACCCTGAAGGAGCTGTAAAGCTCCACAGCTGAGATTGGAGTATCTGTCCATAATACCACTTTAAGCCGTACACTCCACAGAGCTGGGCTTAACCGAAGAGTGGCCAGAAAAAAGTAAGCAAATATGTTTGTTGTTTGCCAAAAGGCATGTTGGAGACTCCCCAAACATATGGAAGAAGGTACTCTGGTCAGATGATACTAAAATTGAGCTTTTTGGCCATCAAGGAAAACGCTATGTCTGGCACAAACCCAACACAATCTCATCAACCGAGACCACCATCCCCACAGTGAAGCATGTTGGTGGCAGCATCATGCTGTGGGAATGTTTTTAATCGTCAGGGACTGGGAAACTGGTCAGAATTGAAGGAATGATGGATGGCGCTAAATATAGGGAAATTCTCTAGGGAAACCTGTTTCAGTCTTCCAGAGATTTGAGACTGGGACGGAGGTTCACCTTCCAGCAGGACAATGACCCTAAGCATACTGCTAAAGCAACACTTGAGTGGTTTAAGGGGAAACATTTAAATGTATTGGAATGGCCTAGTCAAAGCCCAGACCTCAATCCAATGGAGAATCTGTGTTATGACTTAAAGATTGCTGTACACCAGCGGAACCCATCCAACTTATAATATAAATAATAATATGCCATTTAGCAGATGCTTTTATCCAAAGTGAATTACAGTCATGCATGCATATATTTTTACGTATGGGTGGTCCCAGGGATCGAACCCACTACCCTGGCGTTACAAGCGCCATGTTCTACCAATTGAGCTACAGAGGACCACACTTGAAGCACTTGAAGGAGCTGGAGCAGTTTTGCCTTGAAGAATGGGCAAAAATCCCAGTTGCTAGATGTGCCAAGCTTATAAAGACATACCCCAAGAGACTTGCAGCTGTAATTGCTGCAAAAGGTGGCTCTACAAAGTATTGACTTTGGGGGGGTGAATAGTTATGCACGCTCAAGTTTTCTGTTTTTTTGTCTTATTTCTTGTTTGTTTAACAATAAAAAATATTTTGCATCTTCAAAGTGGTAGGCATGTTGTGTAAATCAAATGATACAAAACATTTTAATTCCAGGTTGTAAGGCAACAAAATAGGAAAAATGCCAAGGGGGTGAATACTTTTGCAAGCCACTATAATGGTATGTATAGACAGTATGTGAGCCTTGACTAGAATACAGTATATACAGTGCATTCAGAAAGTATTCAGACCCCTTGACTTTTTCCACATTTTGTTACGTTACAGCCTTATTCTGAATTTGATTAAATTGTTTTTTCCCCCCTCATCAATCTACACACAACACCCCATAATGACAAAGCAAAAACATGTTTATTTTTTGTGTGCAAATTTATAAAAAAATGTAATACTGAAATATCACATTTACATAAGTATTCAGACTCTTTACTCAGTACTTTGTTGAAGCACCTTTGGCAGCGATTACAGCCTTGAGTCTTATTGGGTATGACGCTACAAGCTTGGCACACCTGTATTTGGGGAGTTTCTCCCATTCTTCTCTGCAGATCCTCTCAAGCTCTGTCAGGTTGGATGGGGAGCATCGCTGCACAGCTATTTTCAGGTCTCTCCAGAGATGTTCGATCGGGTTCAAGTCCAGGGTCTGGATGGGCCACTCAAGGACATTCAGAGACTTGTCCCGAAGCCACTCCTGCGTTGTCTTGGCTGTGTGCTTAGGGTCGTTCTCCTGTTGGAAGGTGAACCTTTGCCCCAGTCTGAGGTCCTGAGTACTCTGGAGCAGGTTTTCATCAAGGATCTCTATGTACTTTGCTCCGTTCATGTTTCCCTCAATCCTGACTAGTCTCCCAGTCCCTGCCGCTGAAAAACATCCCCACAGCATGATGCTGCCACCACCATGCTTCACCGTAGGGATGGTACCAGGTTTCCTCCAGACGTGATGCTTGGCATTCAGGCCAAAGAGTTCAATCTTGGTTTCATCAGACCAGAGAATCTTGTTTCTCATGGACTGAGAGTCCTTCAGGTGCCTTTTGGCAAACTCCAAGCTGGCTGTCATGTGCCTTTTACTGAGGAGTGGCTTCCATCTGGCCACTCTACCATAAAGGCCTGATTGGTGGAGTGCTGCAGAGATGGTTGTCCTTCTGGATAGTTCTCCCAGCTCCACAGAGGAACTCTGGAGCTCCGTCAGAGTGACCATTGGATTCTTGGTCACCTCCCTGACCAAGGCCCTTCTCCCCCGATTGCTCAGTTTGGCTGGGCGGCCAGCTCTAGGAAGAGTCTTGGTGGTTCCAAACTTCTTCCATTTAAGAATAATGGAGGCCACTGTGTTCTTGGGGACTTTCAATGCTGCAGGAATGTTTTGGTACCCTTCCCCAGATCTGTGCCATGACACAATCCTGTCTTGGAGCTCTACGGACAATTCCTTCGACCTCATGGCTTAGTTTTTGCTCTGACATGCACTGTCAACTGTGGGACCTTATATAGACAGGTGTGTGCCTTTCCAAATCATGTCCAATCAAGTTGTAGAAACATGTCAAGGATGATCAATGGAAACAGGATGCACCTGAGCTCAATTTCGAGTCTCATAGCAAAGGGTCTGAATACTTATGTAAATAAGGTTTTTATTTTGATTTTTGTTTTATACATTTGCAAAGATTTCAAAAAACCTGCTTTCTCTTTGTCATTATGGGATATTGTGTGTACAGTCGTGGTCAAAAGTTTTGAGAATGACACAAATATTAATTTTCACAAAGTCTGCTGCCTCAGTTTTTATGATGGCAATTTGCATATACTCCAGAATGTTATGAAGAGTGATCAGATTAATTGCAATTAATTGCAAAGTCCCTCTTTGCCATGAAAATGAACTTAATCCCCCAAAAACATTTCCACTGCATTTCAGCCCTGCCACAAAAGGATCAGCTGACATCATGTCAGTGATTCTCTCGTTAACACAGGTGAGAGTGTTGGCGAGGACAAGGCTGGAGATCACTCTGTCATGCTGATTGAATTAGAATAACAGACTGGAAGCTTTAAAAGGAGGGTGGTGCTTGAAATCATTGTTTTTACTCTGTTAACCATGGTTACCTGCAAGGAAACACGTGCCGTCATCATTGCTTTGCACAAAAAGGGCTTCACAGGCAAGGATATTGCTGCTAGTAAGATCAACCATTTATCGGATTATCAAGAATTTCAAGGAGAGAGGTTCAATTGTTGTGAAGAAGGCTTCAGGGCGCCCAAGAAAGTCCAGCATGCGCCCGGACCGTCTCCTAAAGTTGATTCAGCTGCGGGATCGGGGCACCACCAGTGCAGAGCTTGCTCAGGAATGGCAGCAGGCAGGTGTGAGTGCATCTGCACGCACAGTGAGGTGAAGACTTTTGGAGGATGGCCTGGTGTCAAGAAGGGCAGCGAGGAAGCCACTTCTCTCCAGGAAAAACATTAGGGACAGACTGATATTCTCCAAAAGGTACAGGGATTGGACTGCTGAGGACTGGGGTAAAGTCATTTTCTCTGATGAATCCCCTTTCCGATTGTTTGGGGCATCCGGAAAACACCTTGTCCGGAGAAGACAAGGTGAGCGCTACCATCAGTCCTGTGTCATGCCAACAGTAAAGCATCCTGAGACCATTCATGTGTGGGGTTGCTTCTCAGCCAAGGGAGTGGGCTCACTCACAATTTTGCCTAAGAACACAGCCATGAATAAAGAATGGTACCAACACATCCTCCGAGAGTAACTTCTCCCAACCATCCAAGGTTGGTGACGAACAATGCCTTTTCCAGCATGATGGAGCACCTTGTCATAAGGCAAAAGTGATAACTAAGTGGCTTGGGGAACAAAACATCAACATTTTGGGTCCATGGCCAGGAAACTCCCCAGACCTTAATCCCATTGAGAACTTGTGGTCAATCCTCAAGAGGCGGGTGGACAAACAAAAACCCACAAATTCTGACAAACTCCAAGCATTGATTATGCAAGAATGGGCTGCCATCAGTCAGGATGTGGCCCAGAAGTTAATTGACAGCATGCGTTGGGCTGACCGCGCCACCCTCTGGAGAGCCCTGCGGTTGCGGATGGTGCAATTGCCGTACCAGGCAGTGATACATCCCAACAGGATGCTCTCAATGATGCATCTGTAGAAGTTCATGAGGGTCTTCGGGGCCAAGCTGAATTTCTTCAGCCTCCTGAGGTTGAGGAGGCGCTGTTGCGCCTTCTTCACCACACTGTATGAGCGAATGGACCATTTCAGGTTGTCAGTGATGAGCACACCGAGGAACTTGAAGCTTTTCACCCTCTCCACTGCGGCCCGATTGATGTGGATGGGGGCGTGCTCTCGCTGCTGTCTCCTGAAGTCTAAGATCAGCTCCTTCGATTTGTTGACGTTGAGGGAGAGGTTATTTACCTGGCACCACTCTGCCAGGGCCCTCACCTCCTCCCTGTAGGCTGTCTCAGGGTTGTTGGTAATCAGGCCTACCACTGTTGTGTCGTCAGCAAACTTGATGACAGGAGGGGGCTGAGCACGCACCCTTGTGAGGCCCCGTGTTGAGGATCAGCATGGCGGAGTTGTTGTTGCCTACCTTAGCCACCTGGGTCAGCCTGTCAGGAAGTCCAGGACCCAGTTGCACAGAGCGGGGTTCAGACCCAGGGCCCCGAGCTTAGTGATGGGGGGGGGGGGGGGGGGGATATATTGGGAGGTAATGCGGTCGGCATTTGATGGTGAGATATTCCAGATTGGGAGAACAAAAGGACTTGAGTTCCTGTACGTTACCACAATCACACAACGAGTAGTTCTTTCTTCCTGTCCGCACGATGGACGGAGAACCACGCTGGCTGAATGAACAGGGACAATATATCCGGAGAGAGCCGTGATTCCGTAAAACAGAGTATGTTACAGTGCCTGATGTCTCTCTGGAAAGAGATCCTCACCCTGAGATCGGCTACTTTATTGTCCAGGGACTGAATGTTAACGAGTAATATACTTGGAAGCGGTGGATGTTATGCACGCCTCCTGAGTCTGACTAGGAGCCATGGCCGCGGGAAGATGTTTTGGGTTGTGGGTGCTGTCGCCAATTGTTTTGTATTTTTTATTTCGATTTATCAGGGGGTGCTGCAGCACTCCTAGCACCCTTACTACCTAGCCCACTTCCTCTTCTCCGGCGGCGTCTTGGAGCAGCCCCTGGGATGAATGGAACTGCCTCAGGGAGTTCAAACAAATGATCAAATTCAGGGAAATCGAATTTGTGGTCGAAATGCTGGTAAGTGATCGATGATCAAATATACCTGTTATTTTCGTTGGATAGGAGCTAGAAACAGGGCGACCATGTCTGTCGTCGCCATCATATATAAGCTCCCAGTAATTCATTGGGTAAACCACCAATATTTCGGAATCACAGTGCCTTCTTCAGGGTAATATCATGAATGCTTTTTTAACCACAAGGGAGCATCGATCGATGAGTCTTCCTTTTGCTGAACAATTTAATTTATAGCACCTGCTCAAAACCATTGCATGTTTCTAAGTTGTAAGTCTTAATATCGTGGGGTAGTAGAAGTGACGCTTGTGTTTGAGATGGGGTATTGGGGGAGGGCATTTTAAGGGCATTCAGCAGGAGATGTGCCCCAGTGCTGTCAAATCATATAAGCGTACAAATGCCACAATTAGGGCAGTGTGTGTGTGTGTTTGTGTGTGTGTGTGTGCATGTGCTATTGGGGGAGGGGGTGCACAAGAAGGGTTCATTAGGGTTATCTCAATCACTGCATATTGTACAGCGTCTGAGCTTCATATCCCTTGAACAAATACAGCAGACAAACAACACAAGGTTACACATTTCTTTCATTCCTTTGTGTTTTGACCTTAATTCATGGAAACGGGTCAAACTAAATATTTTATCAGTAGTCTGGAACCTCTGATATGGGGGCAAGCTGCTCTGTTTCTATGAAGTGGTGAAAAATAAGTCATTGTTTTCATCTAGGCTGCTGTATTTAAGATGTGATCTTATTTAGTGCTGTAAAAAAAAGTGAGGAATATGGGATAGACTCCCGAGTGGCGCAGTGGTCTAAGGCCACTAGAGATCCTGGTTCGAATCCAGGCTCTGTCGTAGCCGGCCGCGACCGGGAGACCCATGGGGCAGCGCACAATTGGCCCAGCGTCGTCCAGGGTAGGGGAGGGAATGGCCGGCAGGGATGTAGCTCAGTTGGTAGAGCATGGCGTTTGCAACGGCAGGGTTGTGGGTTTGATTCCCACGGGGGGCCAGTATGAAAAAATAGAGATTAAGAATGAGATAGAGGCGGACAGAGATGGTGAGAATAAGTGGGAGGGGTGGACAGAAGGAGGGAGGAACAATGGAAAATGCACTGAGGAATATGAGTCAGCATGGCGTAGATGGGTATAATAATTTAGCACACATCCTCCTCTTTTCTCTCTTCCTCCTTCCTCTATCCTCCTCCCCCTCTTTTTCCTTTCCTCCTCCTTCTCCACCTCTGTTCCTCTTCTCCTCTCCTCTTCCTCCCCCCTTTACTTTGGTGAATTGATGGGAGTATGTCCCAGGCTGCTCGCAGTAATAAGATAACTCATATTCATGATGTCCCGCCTATTGATTTACTGGGGACGGATGCACGCTTGTCACAGTCAATCTGGTGCACTTCTCATTTACTTCTGATAGATACAGTGCATTCAGAAAGTATTCAGACCTGTTGACTTTTTCCACATTTTGTTACGTTACAGCCTTATTCTAAAATTGATTAAATAAAACATTTTCCTCATCAATCTACACACAATACCCTATAATGACAAAGTGAAAACAGGTTTTTAGAAATCTTTGCAAATGTATTACAAATAAAAAACAGAAATACCTTATTTACATAATTATTTAGAACCTTTGCTATGAGACTCGAAATTGAGCTCAGGTGCATCCTGTTTCCATTGATCATCCTTGAGATGTTTCTACAACTTAATTGGACATGATTTGGAAAGGCACACACCTGTCTATATAAGGTTCCACTGTTGACAGTGCATGTCAAAGCAAAAACCAAGCCATGAGGTTGAAGGAATTGTCCGTAGAGCTCCGAGACAGGATTGTGTCCAGGCACAGATCTGGGGAAGGGTACCAAAACATTTCTGCAGCATTGAAGGTCCCCAAGAACGCAGTGTCCTCCATCATTCTTAAATGGAAAAAGTTTGGAACCACCAAGACTTTTCCTAGAGCTGGCCGCCCGGCCAAACTGAGTCATCGGGGGAGAAGGGAGGTGACCAAGAACCCGAAGGTCACTCTGACAGAGCTCCAGAGTTCCTCTGTAGAGATGGGAGAACCTTCCAGAAGGACAACCATCTCTGCAGCACTCCACCAATCTTTATGGTAGAATGGCCAGACGGAAGCTACTCCTTAGTAAAAGGCACATGACAGAACGATTGGAGTTTGCCAAAAGGCACCTGAAGGACTCTCAGACCATGAGAAACAAGATTCTCTGGTCTGATGAAACCAATATTGAACTCTTTGGCCTGAATGCCAAGCGTCACGTCTTGAGGAAACCTGGCACCATCCCTACGGTGAAGCATGGTGGTGGCAGTGTCATGCTGTGGGGATGTTTTTCAGCGACAGGGACTGGGAGACTAGTCAGGATCGAGGGAAAGATTAATAGAGCAGTACAGAAAGAAAGATCCTTGATGAAAACCTGCTCCAGAGCGCTCAGGACCTCAGACTGGGACGAAGGTTCACCTTCCAACAGGACAACGACCCTAAGCACACAGCCAAGACAACGCAGGAGTGGCTTCGGGACAAGTTTCTGAATGTCCTTGAGTGGCCCAGCCCGAGCCCGGACTTGAACTCAATCGAACATCTCTGGAGAGACCTGAAAATAGCTGTGCAGCGACGCTCCCCATCCAACCAGACAGAGCTTGAGAGGATCTGCAGTGAAGGTGTGCCAAGCTGGTAGCGTCCTACCCAAGAAGCTTTGAGGCTGTAATCGCTACCAAAGGTGCTTCAACAAAGTACTGAGTAAATGGTCTGAATACTTATGTAAATGTACTATTTCATAAAAAAATTTATTTTACTGTTTTTGCTTTGTCATCATGGGGTATTGTGTGTAGATTGATGAGGGGGGGAAAAAACTATTTAATCAATTTCAGAATAAGGCTGTGTCGTAAACAAAATGTGGAGGTCTGAATACTTTCCCGAATGCACTGTAGTTAAGCTACCGGAAAAAATTATGAATCGGTCGAAAACACAACCTGCTATAGGGGCACCGAGACCATTGGAAAGAGGAAGTATGTGCATAGTTGAACATTCCAACTATATAACTTTAAGTACAACTTTAAGTACAGACAGTTTCATTCTATGAGGCAAGACTTACAGCATACCTAAGACTGGAATTCCACCAGACCCAACATAGTAATATTTGGGGGATGTTTTGTCATTGCGCTATATTTTCTTATTCTGAAAAGTGGAAGCATCAAATTGTGGGTTTAGTACTTGGCAGTAGTAATAGTAATTCTAGTTTTTTTCAGTACCAACACCATTCTGTGACTTTATTTGACCATGGGAAAACTGTAGAAATACCACAATGCAGGTTCAGTTAAATCGACCCCAAAGACTCAGTAAGTTTGTGTGTTTGTTTTCAGGCCTGTTGGGTTGCCAGCGTTTCAGCAGTCCATCTCAGAACTACAGCACACTTCTACTGGAGGAGGACAATGGGGTGCTGTACGTGGGGGCCAGGGGGGCTCTCTATGCCCTGGACACCACCAACATCTCCACGCCTGGCAACCTCACGGTGAGTGCAAGGATGCTATCTTGCTTAAGTTTAGATCGGCAATTAAATTGTATTGGATTTGTAACTGGTTAGCTGGTACAGCACATCATATCACATGACCGTTATGTTGCAATTTGCAAAACTAACCCTCTTTCACAAATCTTTTTCTCTTTCACAACTTTTAAAGAGGACAGGCTAATAATAGCCTTAAGGGGATTTAGTAAATCCTATTGTACGTTAATTTTTTTATGTGTGGGCATTGGATTAAATGCATGGGGCAAGTTTACTCACAAGCCAACAGAATAGATTAAAACACAATATAGTTGATGGGAGTAACTTAATTATTAAAATGGAGTATTCACTGGAGTATTAAAATTGAGAATTCACTGGAGTATTAAAATGGGAGTATTCACTGGAGTATTGAAATTGAGTATTCACTGGAGTATTTAAATGTTGGCATGTTACACTGCCCATCCTCCCACTACCTCTTTGGGTGACATGAGAGGTCATTCTACTCCCCCTTACAGATTGACTGGGAAGCTTCGGCCGAGCAGAAGAAGCAGTGTCTCAACAAAGGAAAAAACAATCAGGTGCAACCCATTGCGTGTAGCTCACACTGCTCAACACACACATATCTCTCTCTCTCTGTGTCTGTATCTCTGTATCTCTCTCTCTCTTTCTCTCTCTCTCCTTATTAGATTGCCCAATCTAGTATAACAATGATGTGATGTTGTTATTATAATGTAATAATGTAGTCCTTATCAAGCAGGAGTCAAGTGAATGTGTTAACCTATGTCTTCAGGACTAGGTTGATGCTATATCGATGTATAACCGTCCTGTTTTGTCTCTCCTACAGACAGAGTGTTACAATCACATCCGCTTCCTACAGAGGTACAATGAGACTCACCTGTACGTCTGTGGCACACACGCCTTCAGGCCCCTCTGTGCTTACATAGTAAGAGCTGTTCTGTTGCTGGGAACTTCCCGGTTTACATTCTGTCTTCCAACGCACTGCCCATTAGCATGCTGTGTTATCTGCTTTGTTATGGTGATGGTGTGATTTATATTCCCATAGTGTAGTTATTGACCCTCTCTCTTCTTCTCCTCTATCAGGATGTGGAGCGCTTCAGTTTCTCCTCTGGCTTCGAGGAGGGCAGGGACCGGTGTCCCTACGACCCAGCCAAGGGCTACACCGGCCTCCTTGTTGGTAAGAACCTTAATCTACCCCCTGGGGTGCACTATTTTTCCCTAACCAAGCAGTAAGAATGGATTGAGAGACACTCTTCTATTCCTTATTCTGTGTTCTCGCTCTCTGATCCCTCCATATCTCTCTCTGTGGTCTGTCAGATGGTGAGATGTTCTCAGCCTCCCAGTATGAGTTCCGCAGCTCTCCGGACGTTCGTCGGAACTTCCCCTTCCCCACTCTGAGGACAGAGGAGGCCCCGACCAGGTGGCTGCTGGGTAAGGACCGATTATGACCCATGCCTTATCTTATACACATTGGTCACAGTTTGTGGCTTGATCCCTACGGCTATGCAATTTTGGAATACCAATACCAAAACTGTCATTTTGATTCATAATACTACAACTATACGGTACTAAGCAGACCTGAGGGTATTTTCAAATACACAGCCGAAAAACAACAACTTAAAATAGACATGGTTGTAAATAGATGCCAATTTCCAAATACATTCTGGCAATATTCAACTACTTGTGAAAATAATTCAAGAAACTTTGTCTAAATACACTATATATACAAAGGTATGTGGACACCCCTTCCAATTAGTGAATTCAGCTATTTCAGCCACACCCGTTGCTGACAGGTGTATAAAATAGAGCACACAGCCACGCAATCTCCATAGAAACATATTAGTAGAATGGCCTTACTAAAGAGCTCAGTGACTTTCAACGTGGAACCGTCATAGGATGCCACCTTTCCAACAAGTCAGTTTGTTAAATCTCTGCCCTCCTACAGCTGCCCTGGTCAACTGTAACTGCTGTTATTGTGAAGTGGAAACGTCTAGGAGCAACAATGGCTCAGCCGCGAAGTGGTAGGACACACAAGCTCACAGAATGGAACCGGCGAGTGCTGAAGCGCGTAGCGCGTAAAAATCATCTGTCCTCGGTTGCAACACTCACTACAGTTTGGGGAAGGCCCTTTCCTGTTTCAGCATCACAATGCCCCCGTGCACAAAAAAAGGTCCATACAGAAATGGTTTGTCGAGATTGTGTGGAAGACCATGACTGGCCTGCACAGAGCCCTGACCTCAAACCCATCAAACACCTTTGGGATGAATTGGAACGCTGACTGCAAGCCAGGCCTAATCGCCCAACATCAGTGCCCGACCTCACTATTGCTCTTGTGGCTGAATGGAAGCAAGTCCCCGCAGCAATGTTCCAACATCTAGTGGAAAGCCTTCCCAGAAGAGTGGAGGCTGTTATATCAGCAAAGAGGGGGACCAACTACATATTAATGCCCATAATTATGAAATGAGATGTTCGACGAGCAGGTGTCCACATACTTTTGGTCATGTACTGTAATTGTTTCTAAATGTATTTTAAAAGTAATTCAAATACAGTAAATAGTATTCAAACCAGGTCAGGTACTAAGTACTGGTTGAAAACATAGGCAATTTAATATTCATTCCTTCATAATACAAGATCTGCCTTCACCTTAGCATTCTTGAATTTATATACTGTGGTCATCCTTGCTTTCAGCCTACATTATCTGACAATAACATTAATCTCTCCATAGTATGTGCTTTGTCAGGAGTTGTACAGAATATACACAGAATGATGATGTTTTGCTATTGTATGAGCAGAGGCGGACTTTGTGGGCTCAGTGCTGCTGAAGGAGAGTGTCAACAGCTTGGTGGGTGATGACGACAAGATCTATTTCTTCTTCACCGAGAGGAGCCAGGAGCAGATGGCCTACCCCAGCCAGACCAGGGTGGCACGGGTGGCCCGCGTCTGCAAGGTAGGCCTGGAGGGGGACATGTGTTATGTCATTAGGGGTTGCCCAAGTGCAGGGAGAAATCGGAGGACGAGCTCAATGTCTGGAATGGAATAAATGAAACGTATCAAACACAAGGAAACCAGCCATTACTATGAGCCCGTCCTCCGATTTCGCCCTCCACCAGCCTCCACTAGACTTTTCTTGTACACAGGCTTTCTCCCAGAAGAGCTTCCCTTCTCATCAAAACCCCAGGCCAAACCTGGAGGGTTGGCAACCTTATATTGGATTAATTTACTGTACTTCTTGTTTTCAGTTCTGTAGCGTGCTTTTTCTTGTAGTTGTCTGTGTTTTTCATTCACGTTGTGCTCTCACCCACTGAGTGAACTTCAGGTTGATTATTGTCCTCCTCGCGTCTTCTGAGGGGCTTCACAGTGGGCCACTGTTTCCAGGCAGGGTAGAAGCCCACCCAACCCCCACTGCAATGGTAGACACTGTCTTTCTCTCCCCACTTTCTCTCTCTCTCTCTCTCTCTCCCTCTCGCTCTCGCTCTCTCTCCTCTCGCTCCCTCCTCCCACTCTCTCCCTCCTACCTAATTTTACTGGAGATCAGCGTCTCTCTGTCAGACACTGTGCCCAGAAACCACTCCTGGAGATACAGAAAACAGTTGTTTCACTCCTCCACCTCCACCTCCTCTTCTCTCTTTGGCTGTGCCTGGTGTAACTGTAATCTCCATATTTCATGCTTGCAGTCCGGCTCTTTAAAAAATGCAGCTTTCTGGGAATGGGGTCAAGTCTGCTGCCTGTGCCCACTTTGTGGTAATGGTGGTGGTGGAGGGGTAGAATGTGATGGATCCAGTCATAACTGGGCCACAACAGCCCATGCAGATGTCAATCTGGGGGGCGGGGGGGCACAGACTCGCCCCAGTGGCACAGTGGCAGTCATCCATGATGATGACAGTTGCAGCGGCAACAGATCCGCAGACACAGCAGGCATATCCTTAGGGTGCTATGCTGGGCGGGGGTCCTTGTGTCTGTTAACAGATATTATGAAGTGACAACATGATTAGCCACAGAGCGTGTGCATTACAATTCACCTGACAGGCTGTCAGCAACATCACCACAACCAACATCATCACAACCCAAATATCTTTAGTCTTCTATACCGGCTGCTTGTACCTAATTTTGAATGGCGGCCATCTTGCCTCTCTGTCCAGAGCTGGTTGCCAGCTCTCACCAGGGGTCTAATTCACTAGGGAGAAGATTAACCTTCAGTGCTGGTGTATTTCTCTGCTTAATCTTCTCTTTTTGTATTGAGAACAAAGCTATTGTTCTCGATGAAACAGCCCTTTTTATGTATGAGTGCTGTTTTGTGTTTGTTTTGGTTACTTTGTTTACTGTGACTACAGTATTTTGCGGCAGATACAGTACTGAGGCTGGTTAGAGAGATGATAGAGGTCTATGAAAGACAGAAATGAAGAGCGATGAGTGTATTAAAACCCTGCCATACAAAGAGAGGAGAAGTCTCTGCTCTAAATGAGGTGTGCTAAATCACCCTATTCAGGCTTCTTCTCAGTGACATCACCTCCGAGCGCCTCCTCCTCTGCTGCTGCTGCCCGAAATGCAATTAGATTAAATGTGTTCAAGTAGGCATACTGTGAGCCTCAACTGAACATTCTCATTCAATGGTACTCAGAACTGCTTCTAGTGTGTGTGGAGGGGTTGTGAGTAAGTGCGTGTGTGTGCGTGCAGGGGGGTGCGTGTGGGTCTGTGTGTCTGTCTCCGTGTGTGTATACAGTATGTGTATGAGTTTGTAGTAAACCTGTGGGTGTGTGTGTGTGTGTATGTGTGTATGTGTGTGTGTGGTACTGTATGAGTGTGTATCTGTGTGTGTGACTGATGACCGGTCCATCTCTCCCTTTCTCCGCCCTCCCTTCCAGGGTGACTGGGGCGGCCAGAGGACCTTGCAGAGGAAGTGGACATCCTTCCTGAAGGCTAGACTGGTGTGCTCCGTTCCTGACTATGAGCTCCACCTGAACGTGCTGCGTAGCGTCTTCGTCCTGGAGGGCCCAGACGTACACAGCACCGTCTTCTACGGGATCTTTGGCCTGGAATGGTAAGAGAATGGAGCAATGGGAGTTGTTGTCTACCATACCACTACTGGCTAATTGTCAACTGGCTCTATATTTTTGTGTGGTCATGCACTCACCACTTTGTATGCAGAGATTTGTGGTCTGTTGACTAGTGTAAGTAAATAGTAGTTTGTTGTGGTTATTGGAGTGTAGATGGTAGGCTGATAGTTAATGATGGGGAATGAGAGAGGCTGACATTGGGGCTGCAGGCTGCAGTAGGAGCATATCAATGACCCTGTCAGGCGAAGATAGAGTAGCAGGCAGCAGTGGTGTGTGTGTGTGTGTGTGTGTGTGTGTGTGTGTGGTCGTGTTTAACTCTACTTGTGGGGACCAGAAGTCCAAGAAAAAGTTGACCAACTGGGGACATTTTGTTGGTCCCCACAAGGTCAAATGCTATTTCTAGGGGGTTTAGGGTTAAGGTTAGAATTAGTGTTAGGGTTAGAATTAGGTTTAGGGTTAGGGTTATGAGATAGGGTTAGTGTTAGGGTTAGGGTTAGGAGCTAGGGTTGGGTTTAGGGTTAGGGTTAAGATTAGGTTTCTGGGTTAAGGTTAGGGTTAGGGTACGGGTACGGATTAGGTTTGGGGTTAGGGGTTAGGGAAAATAGGATTTTGAATGGGACTGAATTGTATGTCCCCACAAGGTTAGCTGCGCAAGACTGTGTGTGTGTGTGTGTGTGTGTGTGTGTGTGTGTGTATGTGTGCGCTATGTGCTCATATGGAAAATCAAGCGGTCACCGCGGTTCTGAGAATCCGATGGAGGGTAAAAACAGAAAAATATAGAATTCTCTCTCTCTCTCTCTCTCTCTCTCTCACTTACTGTCTCTCTCTCACTTACTCTGTCTCTCTCTCCCTTACTCTGTCTCTCTGTCTCTCTGTCTCTCTGTCTCTCTCTCTCTCTCTCTCTCTCTCTCTCTCTCTCTCTCTCTCACTCTGTCTCTCTCTCTCTCTCTCTCTCACCCTCCCCCATTTATGTAAAGCTAAAGTGCACCTTTGTGAGTTACACCCATCACCATGTGTGTGACCTGAGTGAGTAAGCGTGAGTAAGCCCTTGGGCAACAATGTATTACTCTGGGCAGATACCAGAAGAAGTCCAATGTCATTTTCTTCACTGGGTTGGTTGTGCGGGCTAAGGAGGACACACAATAGGCTTTATAGTGACTCACACAGGTTAATCATACCTGCAGGCTAGGAGCATTTGACAGTTATTTCACCTGATTCCTATCCACTAGCACACTTTGTGGCCATACACAGGACAAAACTACTCTTTCTTTCCTAGGTACTCCCCAACAGAGCCATGTCATGTGGCTTAGCGAGTGTGTCCCAAATTACACCTTACCTTGACCAGACTATTTGTCTCTAGTGGAAATAGGGTACTATAGGAAATAGGGTATCATTTTAAATACAGTCATCCAGTCAGTCTTTCACCCAAGCATGTAGTCACAGGTAGTAAGAATTATGCCAACACAGTTGCGAGTACATAACTCAACTGCACATTGATTACGAATAAAGCATAAGCTTACTCCTGCTATAAGACAAGAGCTTACCCCTGTCAGTGACTCCCCATATCCCTGTTGAAGACAAAGGAAGGATAGAACTGTTACCCAAAACCAAACCCCCACTCTCCTTCCCACCAGTGGTAGAAAAAGTACCAAATTGTCATACTTGAGTAAAAGTAAAGATCCTTTATTTTTACTTAAGTACTTTACACCACTGCTTCCCACCCACCACAGCTTTCAGTGAATTATCTACTAAAACCTAACCAAGTCTATTGACATTTTCCCTCTCGGTGAGCGGATCACTGATATGTCTGAAATTTGTTCTGGGTGGCCGGTGGCAGTTACTTTCAAGAACAAGCTTCAATGTTTTATATAACGTTGAATTATTAATCTCTGACTTTTCTTCTGTGTCTTGGGGCATTTTTTCTCTCCCAGGAAAAATATCAAGGTGTCTGCGGTGTGCCAGTACTCCTTCACAGATATTCAGAGGGCCTTCGAGGGGCCTTACATGGAGGTGCAGGATTCCAAATGGAGGGAATATAGAGGGAAGGTTCCAGTACCAAGACCTGGCTCGGTAAACCTCTAGGAATACCCCTCAATCACCTCTTCCTCCCCTTTCCCCTGTTTCTTACCACCTTGGATCAATCTCAATACTCTCTACACAGTGTCCTCCTTTCCTCGTCTTCTTTCCTTCATCTAAAGACTGAATAGGTGAAAGCAGTACTTAGACTTGGCCGTCACCTGACTAGTTCTTTAATATGCTGGTGTAGAAGAGGAAGCCCCTTAATGCTTCTGATCTGTATTGACTGCTCTCTCTTTCCCTCTCTCTCACTGCCCTCCCTCCCTCCAGTGTATCACAAACATACACCGGTCCCAGGGCATCAACTCGTCCCGTGACCTCCCAGACAAGGTTTTGACCTTTGCGAGGCGCCACCCCCTGATGTCCACACAGGTCCACCCCATAGGAGGGCGCCCCCTAATTTTCAAGAGAAGTGTCAATTACGTCAAGATGGCCGTGCACCGGGTGGCAGCCCTGGACGGACACGTCTACACCGTGCTCTTCTTGGGAACTGGTGAGTCTGGCTAGGTATATAATGCATAATACATATGTTTTCTTGGAAGAATTTCATATGAATGTTATATGAGAGTTATATCAATGTTATATGAACATTATATAAACGTTGGATGAACATTATATGTCTGTGTTTTTCCTTGCAGATGAGGGCTGGCTGCACAGGGCTGTGGAGGTCGGAGGTCAAATGCACATCATAGAGGAGCTGCAGCTGTTTGAGGACCCTCAGCCTGTAGACAGCGTGGTCATCTCCCAGGCACAGGTACTATAAATTGCTCATACATGCTAATAACACGTTTTAAAGCATTGTAACTGCCAGTTGTAGGTACATTGTTACCAAATAGTCATGAAACATGAGCTCTCCTCCAACAGGGAAGTGTCTATGTGGGCTCCAACTCTGCAGTGCTCCAGGTCCCCTTGTCCTCCTGCCAGCGCTACACGTCCTGTTTCGACTGTGTGTTTGCCCGGGACCCCTTCTGTGGCTGGGACGGGGTGCTGTGTGTGGAAATTTCCTCATGCACAAACAGGTGAGGGCAGGCACAAACACGCGCACACACACACACACACACACGCACACACGCTAGTGGGATACTAGTGAGTGAGCCTGGGGACTGTTTTGTGTCTGGGCTGATCTACTCTGCATGAGTGAGCGTCAGACATTTTAATCTCCATTACTGCTGCAGACGCATCAGACTCTTCTGTGGTTTTCCTGTGGATTTGTTTATGTGCTTTGAGCACCGCATTAGTTTAAGAGAGAGTTTCATTACAATTCAAAGAAACCTTGCAGATCAACTGCTATCATATTTTAATAGGCTATGCTCTGAACATTCGATTTTGTTGTTTACATTCTTTTATTGACTTTAGCTGAACACACCATGAGGTACTTCTACTAAATGGGTGGATTGTTTGATTACATAAATACACAACCCAATGTCCTATTTTCTGTGTACTTCAATGAGTAATATGAAATTACTCTTGTTCAAATGTTATACCGTTTCTCTATGGCTAGTTTGTCTGTGTGTACAGTATGTGTGGGTGCCTACTGCCCTGAAAGCATAAATGAGAACTGACATTCTTCTGGCTCCTATTCAGCTCCAATCTCACCCAGGATATACAGAAAGGGAACAGAGGCTGTGACAACAGCACAGGAGCTGGTATGTACTGAACACACACACACACACACCACGTGTGTGCCCGTCGCTCTCAAACATAGGCACCGTACATTCACACGAACACGCACTCACACACACACAAGTTCTATTTTAAGGGATATCACGGCATTAATATATTCCGACATGTGGCTCTTTTGCCCACAAACCCAAACCATTTAAAGGCCATTAAGGGATTTCATTAGGTGTGCAGAGCTGTTACTACTCCCCCAGGCTGCTCCACTCACTTTAATCAGGTCCTCCTACATTAAATTAGAGGGCAGATAATCGAGCTGTCTGCATTGCAGGGTTCTGTCTGCTTACAGAAGCTTACTACGAATAAAGATGAGAAGTGATGCTGAAAGGTTAAGATGTCCTGTTACTCACCTCTGCGTTGATAATATGACCTGCCGTTTCTTTACATCTGTTTCTGTATTCATCTCTCTCTCTCTCTCTCTCTCTCTCTCTCTCTCTCTCTCTCTCTCTCTCTCTCTCTCTCTCTCTCTCTCTCTCTCAGTAGTCCACCGCAGGCGTACGGTGATGTCTGGGGACGACGTCCTCCTCCAGTGCGAGCTGCACTCCAACTTGGCCACGCCGCACTGGACACTGGATGGCCATGAGCTCCAGGGCTATGACCTCGACTCAGGCCACCGCGTGGGCACCGACGGTCTGCTCCTCATAGGCGCCCGGGCCGACCAGAGTGGAGACTACCGCTGCTACGCCGTGGAGAATGACATGTGGGTGCCAGTGAGGCTGTACACGGTGAGGGTGCACCCTGACTTGCCCTTCCCTGTGGGGCCAACAGTCATGACGAACACTTTATCAACCACCGCCACTACCGCCCCACCAAGCCCTTCTCTTCCCCCCAGCGGTCCCACCGAGCAGCCCCTGCCCTCCCCGCCTGCTCCCCTCCCCTCTGGACCCGAGTTCCAGACCTACAGGCACATGGAGGCCATGTATATCTCCCTGGTGGCTGTACTGGGTGGGCTGTGCCTGGTGTTGACCATAGTGCTGCTCTACGTCAGCTTCTGCACCCGAGGGCCCAACCAGGGCCGCAAGTACTCCCAGGAGGGGCTGCCCGAGTCGGGGGCCGCAGCCGAGAGAAAGAGGAGCTCCCACTCCCATCTGGAGCTCAAGACCATGTCCATCCACTGCAATGGCAGGCAGGACAGCAAGCGCGGACACCGCTCCCTGTCGGTATCCAACGTGGACGACATGGGCGACGGCTTCCTTCAGATTGTGCCCGGGGGAGGGTCTCCGGGGAAGTTGCTGCCCCCTCCTGCCCCGCCTCTCCCAATGCCGCCACCCCTGCCCTCCGCGGAGTACGCATCGTCAGAGTACGCCAACGGGATGTCAGCGACGTTACCCAGTGTCCTTCGCAAGATGAACGGCAACAGCTACGTGCTGCTGAGGCAGACGGCAGACCCCGAGGGGAGCACGTCTCCCCTCTACCACTCGTTCACCGAAGAGCTCAACCGCATCCTAGAGAAGAGGAAGCACACACAAATGGACCCCCAGCTGCCAGACGAGAGCTCCGTCTAGCCCCCCACCTCACTTTCCCATTGATCTGTTTATTGGTTTAACCCAACAACCCCAGTGCGCCCCCAAGAGGCAGGGAGGTCTAACTTTTGTAATATACTGCTGCTGTTTACCCAGTGTCAAAGCAACCTGTGAGAGTATCCATACCTAAAACCCAATGTGCAGCTTCCTGTGACTCGAGACAAGTGGCCCACGTAATTTCACTACTGAACATTGGAGTAAAGAGGACTTTCTGACTTTTACCAAACTGGAGCAGTCATTGATATAGTCATGGTAACCATTTTGGACACACATTGTACTATTACATGGACCCTTTGATGGACTTTCAAGGACTTAAGGTCACATACATGATACATACACAAGTTAGTTACAATCCTACCTCAGATCCTTACCCTTTTGGGGAAGTAGGGTCAGTGCTGGTCTGGTCAGCTGACACACAGCGAGCACTGTGGTGCATTGTGGGACACGGGACAATGAGAGCCCAGGTCATATGACTAATGACCATGAAGTGAGATGGTGATGGATGTAAGAGTGTGAGGAACTATCAAAGCCTGTATGAACATTATAGACCATCGTCAAAACTATTGAATTCAGAGAACAATGGATACTGTAGTTTAGTGCCATACACGTCTATGATGGCTCTTAAAGACCCAGGACTACAGAACCTCATAAGAGAGCAAATATGGTTGGACAAATAATACATTTCAGTCATAATTTAATACCACACACTTATCTTCGTTTTCTTTTGTTCTTATGTAAATAGCAATAATATCGCTGTGGCAGCCATCAGTAGCAACCTGTTGAAATAATGCCCGTTGAAATGGTTGCGGCGAAACCAAATTGAAATGGAACTTTTTAGCATCTTTGTGTTGTTAGCGTCTGACTGTGTCAAAGGGGTAAAAAAATCAGCATGGATAGACGACAGGTTTCATCTAAGCTTGGCCAGGATGAAGACTATCATTAAAGAATGACGACATCATTACGAAGAATGAAGACATCAAGACACTAGTCATCATTAATGACTAATCTCTGGTCAGATTGATCAGAGAAACTGAGTGATGATGATGATGATAGATCTGATTGTCAAAGATGTGTGAGCCCAACAGGAGACCAGAAGGCAAAGGTAAGACTGAGAGAAAGCTGTGTCCTGCAGGTGTTGTTGAAATACTTCACAATTACTATGAACATGTACATTGTCACTATGTCATTTGAACCTTTTTTCAAAGTCAAAGTCCACCACCACCACCACCACCACCAAATAGCTTCTGTCAAATTTGGTGCAACAAAAAGAAAACATCAGCTTTAATTTTCCTCTCCATAAAAGATGAAGGGCAGAGAGGTAGACATATTGATGTACAAAGTTTAGCAGTTTAGCAGATGTTATAGCGGGTGCAGCGAAATACTTGTGTTACTAGCTCCTAACAGTGCAGTACAAATGTCAAAAAAGTACACATAATAATCGAAAACTAGAAACGAGAAATCACGAATGTCAGAACAAATCCAGATAACAACCGAAATAACAGTGTATCAGTAATCCAAATGCAATCTATTTGTATATACGGTGCCTTCAGAAACTATTCATACCCCTTGACTTATTCCACATTTTGTGTTACAGCCTGAATTCAAAATTGATTAAATCGATTTTTTTCTCACCAATATACACAATACCTCATAATGACAAAGTGAAAACATGTTTTTTGAAATTTTTGCAAATGTATTGAAAATGAAATACAGAAATATCTTATTTACATAAGTATTCACACCCCTGAGTCAATACATGTTATAATCACATTTGGCAGCGATTACGGCTGTGAGTCTTTCTGGGTAAGTCTCTAAGAACTTTGCACACCTGGATTGTACAATATTTGTCCATGATTCTTTTTACAATTCTTCAACCTCTGTCAAATTGGTTGTTGATCATTGCTAGACAGCCATAGATTAGACTTGCCATAGATTTTTCAAGATCATTTAAGTCAAAACTGTAACTAGGCCACTCAGGAACATTCAATCTCGTCTTGGTAAGCAACTCCTGTGTATATTTGGCCTTGTGTTTTAGGTTATTTTCCTGCTGAAAGGTGAATTTGTCTCCCAGTGTCTGTTGGAAAGCAGACTGAACCAGGTTATCCTCTAGGCCTTTGCCTGTGCTTAGCTCTATTCCGTTTATTTTTATCCTAAAAACTCCGTAGTCCTTGCCGATGATAAGCATATCCATAACATGATGCAGCCACCACCATGCTTGAAAATATGAAGAGTGGTACTTAGTGATGTGTTGTGTTGGATTTGCCCCAAACATAACGCTTTGTATTCAGGCTTCCTTCTTTTCACTCTGTCATTTAGGTTAGTATTGTGGAGTAACTACAATGTTGTTGATCCATCCTCAATTTTATCCTATCACAGCCATTAAACTCTGTAACTGTTTTAAAGTAACCATTGGCTTCATGGTGAAATCCCTGAGTGCTTTCCTTCCTCTCCGGCAACTGAGTTAGGAAGGACGCCTGTATCTTTGTAGTGACTGGGTATATTGATAAACCATCCAAAGTCTAATGAATAACTTCACCATGCTCAAAGGGATATTCAATGTCTGCTTTATTTATCTACCAATAGGTCACTTCTTTGAGAGGCATTGGAGAACCTCTCTGGTCTTGGTGGTTGAATCTGTGTTTGAAATTCACTGCTCGACTGTGGGGTACAGAGATGAGGTAGTCATTAAAAAATGATGTTAAACACTATTATTGCACACAGAGTGAGTCTTGCCATAACAAAGGGGTTGAATACTTATTGACTCAAGACATTTCAGCTTTTCATTTTTAATGAATTTCTAAAAATTTCTAAAAACATAATTACACTTTGACATTATGGGTTATTGTGTGTAGGTCAGTGACACAAAATCTCAATGTAATCCATTTTAAATTCAGGCTGTAACACATCAAAATGTGGAAAAATTCAAGGAGTGTGAATACTTTCTGAAGGCTCTGTACACCAGAAATATATACTAAGAATGATATATACAGTAGTAGATGTATTAAAATGAGTTATGTGAAGAATACAGTATATGGATACACAGTGTAAAAAACAGTATAAAAGAAACAGGTTGTTTGTGGTCCTCTGTAGCTCAACTGGTAGAGCACGGCGCTTGTAACGCCAAGGTAGTGGGTTCGATCCCCGGGACCACCCATACACAAAAAAAATAAAAAATTACGCACGCATGACTGTAAGTCGCTTTGGATAAAAGCGTCTGCTAAATGGCATATTATATTATATTATATAAACAGTCCAGTCCAGATTCCAGCCCAGGTTGTTGTTGGTGCTGTGTGTCCTTTGCTGTCACAAGCTGGTGGCTACATGCCAGACGAGCTATAGGACCTTCGCACAAAAAAAGACCTGCATTACTGTTACCTAACCCGCAACGCTCTCTCAATGTTTACGTGACATCAGTGTCAACGCAAAAACAACATATGACGCTAGAGACGACCGGGGACCTACTCCACTACTTCATTTCCTTGAGAGTCCACTCTGACCAAAGCAAGTAGTGGCTGTGTCTGAAATGGCATCCTTCTCTATATAGTGCACTACTTTTAGTGCACTATAGGGATATAAAAAGGCTCTGGCCAAAAGCAGTGCACTATATAGGGAATATGGTGCCGTACGGTGGAATATGCATCCAGCATAGGAACAAGATGACTGAAACGTATCTCACGGCAGCCAGTCAGTCGGTACTCTCTAAACCTGTCAAGGCTTGCCGTGTTAAATAGAGGCCTCTCCTCACCACAGTAAAGTGTTGAATCAGCTCTTGCCCGGCTGCTTCCCTGGTGGCTCGCAGCACAGCGCGCCGATTTGTGTATCTGTCACTGCGTTGCTGACAGTAACAGCGGCGCTTGGCATCGCTCATGGGCTGGACTCCATAGAGACACCAAGTGAAGGCTTGTTGTCCTTTTTTTGTGGAATCTATCGAACGCGGCCGAGCGGCACAGGGAAACATTTGACCTGTGTGTCCTGGTCAGTGATGAAGTGAGCTGATAGAGTAGGAGAGGGAGGGAGTGTGATATGTGTGTCTGTATTTGTGTGTGGGAAGGGGGCTGGCAGAAGCTGCTTTGCACCACCAGCAGGTTTCCTCCTTCTCCTCTTTACCCTCTCTCCCCATACCTTTATTCCCTCCCTCTCTTTCTCTCTATCGGTATATCCTCCCTTTTCCATTCCCTGTCCCCTCCACGCTACAGTATCATAATCCCGTCCTGCCCTCTTCTTCTCTCATTCCCCCTCTCCCCTAGGGCAGGGTTTCCCACACTTGGTCCTGGGTTCCCCCCCTGGGTGCACATTTTGGTTTTTGACCTAGCATTACACAACTGATTCAAATAACCAACTCATCATCAAGCTCTGATAATTTGAATCAGCTGTGTAGTGCTAGGGCAAAAACCAAAACGTGCACCCAGGGGGGGCCCAGGACCGAGTTTGGGAAACCCTGCCCTAGAGGACCCTGCTGAGTTCACAAACCTCCATGATAGCACCCCAATCAATTAAGCCTGGCCTTTAAACAGTGTCCGTGACCTTGTCTTTGGAAAGGGGCTACTGCAGTGTTCCTCAATCCTGTTCCCTAGGCCTGAAAGGACCCACAGGGTGTGCATGTTTTTGTTCTCGCCCAGCACTAATGAAAACACCCTATTCAACTAATCAAGGGCTTGGCAATGATTTATGTTGAATCAGGTGTTTTAGTGCTGGGCTATAACAGAGATGTGCCATCTCCCCATTGGTCATTATAATAGCCGAGCAGAACCTGGTTGATTAGAATATTTATGCACTATGACGTGTTTCATTACACATGCAGTTTTCACAAGGTTTCTCGTTAGAAGTGTAAGAAACGCAATGTCACATGACCATTATATTAATGTTGTACTAAAGCTTGTCTACAGCAGGGGTTAAGCAAGCCTGATGAATGTGTTTTGCTTATCTTATTATCTTTTCATGTAAAATAAAGAATTATGTATCGAAAGTACAATCATACAAATGAGGGTAGTTGAGCATGTCATTCAGCCTATGAATAGAACATTTAAAGTTGAAAGAACAAACTGGACATTTATGACAAACTGGGCATTTAAACTGTAGGGCATGTCATTTCTCATTAGAGGTGATTCACTGATGCTGTCACGTTATGTTTAAAGTTTTAACAGAGAGAAGTTCATTTTAAACAAAAAAAAAACAGACATACTGTATATGTAGAGTGTATTACTGCCGTATTAAGTCTTTATGTCTGCTGTTTTATATTGAATCTGTCTTTAGATATGCAAGGAGCCAGATCACGTTGATCTCAGAAGAGATGGAGAAGCTGGATGGAAGAAGGAGTGTGTGAGGAACCCTGATGATCTGAGCCAGTGACTGCTCAGAAGGACAATCAGCATGTGCAATCTCCAAGGGCAGGGAACTAGGATACGGTTATGGATATTGTAGTGTACTTACTACTTATGGTCAAATGGCAAACATGCTGGCTGCTACACTCAAATACGCACCTCCAGTATATACTGTATGCCACCATAAACATTGTGGAACACTCATTTCAACAAACATACTCGCTCACGTCATACTGTACAGACATGACAACATCCAAATGGAGGTTTAGACATTAAAGGCCCTGTGCAGCCATTTTTATCTCAATATCAAATCATTTCTAGGTAACAATGAAGTACCTTACTGTGATTGTTTTCAGTCAAAATGGTCAAAAATAAACAAAATTGCTTCTTAGCAAAGGGCAATTTCTCAAGAAAGAATTTTGCTATGACTGTCTGGGAGTGGTCTAAGTTGGGAGGGGAAAATTGAAAACTAGCTGTTATTGGCAGAGAGGTTTGGAACTCTTTCTTATTGGTCTATTAACTATGATGTCACCAGGCAGGCCAAAACTCCATCCCACCAAAATAGGCTGAAATCTCAGGCGGGCTTTTCAAACAGCTCTTACACTAAAACGGAATTATCTTCAATTTCACAATATCACAGTATTATTCCAACCTCATAGTGTGGAAATACATTATTTATAAAACACAGGAAAATCACATTTTTGACTGCACTGGGCCTTTAACTCCACATCACCTACAGAATACATTTGAGTGAACAATGACTAAATGATTCATTTGCATTATACCTCTTGCGAGGACTTTTCTGGCTCTGTACATAAGGAGATTCAGTATACCCTTGTAAAGTGTTACATCAATGTGTTACATCCATGTTATGTGTTGTTTTCTGGTTCGATGTAGATATGACTACTACTTCACAATCTACTTAGTATTTTATCAGCCCTGTAGTCGGCCATGTCATGTGTAATTATTTGGGCATCAGAGCACTTGAGGAGAAATGATTATATTTATGACAAAAGTAATGTCACATATTTATTTTTCTCATATGTTATTGTCACTGTTTTGTGCAACTACCCGTAAAGGATAAAAAACACTATTTTGCATCAAAGTCAGATCGACTGGGAATAATCCTGTGTGTCAACGCCCAAGGGGGAAGTCAGTACAGTACAGCATTATGCAAAACATGTTGAAACTGAGTGCTTTTTTCCCTCCCTATTTCAGTATGTTTTATTTGGTTTTGGAACCTAATGAACACGACCCTGTATTCTCCACAGACTGCTCAAAATATCATAGTGAGTAACTCACACATATGATTATGACAGGGTACGGGGGTACAGCACAGGCTGAAAGACTGGTGGGGAAAAAAGGCAAGTCTGAGTGCCGCGACTTGGGCTGTAACTAAGCAACAGCAATCTTTATTTAGAGCTTTTACACCCGTAGTGTCGGTCAAGCCCTGACAGGTCTCATTGGGGAAACAAAATGTGATGTGAGAACTCTACTTTGGTCAGTCTCTGCTGCCTGTAATCGGTGTGATAAATAATTAGCTATGTTAATACTAGTGGCAACCCTACTCCAATCAATATAAAAACCAGCAGTCTGTTCAGTAGATGTTCTTAGAATAACAGACTATGTTGATTATATATCATTTTCCCCAACATAAATAACTTCGCTAGTATGAAGTTAAGTGGATTCTATTAAGGTTAACAGCATCTCCTGTTTTAAATCCACCCTACATTCTGACAGGTAACCGTAAAAAACGTAACAGAATGGCGGCACAATTTTACATTTGAGTTGTTGAAACTATGAATCTATAATGCTGACTACACAGCCGGAAAACATAATGCCATTCTCATTGGTCACCAAACAAATTGCTAACACATGACCACATGACCGTAGTACTAATCGCTCTGCAGTCACAGGTGCACTTCCTCTTCCCCTCCACACTCATGACTCACGCACCCTTCGCATTTTACACAATCAACCTTTGGATTATACTATTTCCTTTCCTGTGACGTGCCTGTAACCCATCCATCAAGTTCAACCAGAAATCCTATCTGACCACATCTTTTACAGCACCACCCACTCTGAAGCTATGTTGTTATCGGCAGACAGTCAACACTGAGTTCATACAAGACATGCTTACAGTAAAGTCGTTGGTGACATTCACTGCTCACTGTTCTCTTAATGATGGGCAGCTGATAGAGATGTTCAAGAGCCATATATGGTTCTGGGTCGTTCCACACTGTTCAGATGGTTTTGGTGATTGGCAGACATTTTGTTGTGAGAGTTGAGATTCTGTCTGAACTGTGGTGTAAGTAATGGCAACTTAAAACACTGCTGTTGATGTAAATGAGTACATTTGCTACATACCATAAAAAATAAACATATCTCTACAATGTGTCTGGATTGTCTGTCGCAGTCATTTGTAATTATTTTGCTTTATCTTACAGAGAATTCAGTCGACTGATTCAAACGCTTGAACAGTTCAAATGATCATCCACATAAATATCCAGCCTCACAGGTTCTTAAATTACCCCTTCCAAATGAGCACAAATTAGTCACTTGAGTCAAAAACATTGACCACTTTATTCTATTCGTAAAGCGCAGCTGCAGTGAGCAGTTTGAAATACTGGTTTGGACACACAAACTGTTCTGTATGCGCTCCACTAATACCAGTTGACAAGCCTCTGACACAACTGTGCAAAATTCATTCAAATGAGATGGGCAGATATGCTATAACAGATATCTGGTGATTCAGGTGTTTCAGAAACACAATAGCTTATCTGCCATGGAGTTGCTCTGGCCAGTTCTGTGGAGAGTGGACAACAACAGACAAAAATACTGTCCATATTATGAGGTTTCACAAAGTCTTTCGTTGGCCTGCTGTTTCTGGGGTCCGATTGGTCCAATGGACGGGGGTCGGTTGGTGAAGGGATGCCATTGGCCCTGGATGCTGGGGCTGTCTGTGTGAATGGGCTTGCGGATACGGATGATATCTAGGCCAGACTGGTTGGTCAGTTTGGTTATTAGCTCTGCGATCTGTTGAGACGTCTTGCTTGTGATGGCTTCCTCCTTCACATTGCCGTTTACTGCAGGAAAACACAAGGGAATTTAACGATTCCTCGAGATGTTTTGATAAAACATGATCTGCATAACGTGAATATCCAAACTGCAATAATCACAAACAATGTAATGTCAAAATGAATACAAAATTATACACTACGGCATTGGTTTTCACTGCGCGATGATCCTGGATCATACTCACTGACAGAGAACATCATGAGCAACGGTTTGGCTCTAGCGTCACCTACCGTAAATTTTGTTTAATGCATCCACAAAAATGTGACGAGCTCATATTACTGTAGCAGTGAATTATGATATGGTGGAACAATATTTAATACATCGACTTGAACAACACATTTCTCCATTCAAAACATAATGTAATTCACACTTACAGTATTCTGCAACAATTTTAGGGATCCTGCAGGACTGAGGAGAAACGTAGACAACGGTTCCAGGGTTCTTTATGGCAAAATCCACCACTCCTTCTTCGATGAATTCCCTAAGAAAGGATTAGTTGATAATCATTTATTTTTTAGTCATTTAGCAGATGCTCTTATCCAGAGCGACTTACAGTTAATGCGTTCATCTTAAGATAGCTAGGTGGGACAACCACATATCACAGGCATAGAAAGCACACTGGATAATAAATGGTAGCTAACCACATTGGCCCATAGGCTAGATAGCTTTATGACACTAACCTGGCTCCCAGAGAGCTCTGTCCATTCTTGGAGAAGATGAGGGAAATGCGCTTCAGTTGACAGACATATCGACCCACCCCGTTTTGCAGAACACTTTGTAGGAACCGACTCGGGGTGCCTCTAGATGTCATTTTGCAATATAGATCATCTATAGAAATGTAAATGTTTTATGTTTAATTTCCATGGACTGGGTATCTAAAGGACAATTTGACGGGCATGAAGAACATGCAGTCCGTCAAGTGAAAAGTCCGGACGGAAACACAAACACAGGAATCAATACATGTTCAATTCATTTATACATGTTGTGATACATTTGAGTTGAATTTTCAATGAAAAAATAATCAAATATTAATATAAATTGATTTATCAATCACAAACGTACAATCAAAGTGTTCTCTTTGTATGATTTGTGTATGCGATACAGTACAGGATTGATGGCTATGTTTCACACGGACGTATTTTTATAACGCAACAAAAGCCCGCAAAAGTGTGCATGCGAGAAGAAATGTAAGAAAAGGTTGGTGTTTATCGTTAACATTTTAGTTTAGTTTGTAAGCATGAATGCGGGGATGCATATCACTATAAGGTTAACGCTACCGAAACCTCGTTTTTGTCCACTTCTGCGTCCCTTTTTTTGACCTCTTAAATCACGTGTCAAACTCGTTCCATGGAGAGCCGAGTGTCTGCGGTATGTCGCTACTCCCTTGTACTTGATTGATTAATTAAGGTAACTGATTAGTTACGAACTCCCCTCACCTGGTTGTCTTGAGTTTGACACCCCTGTAAACATTTAGTGAGCATGATTTTACCACAGCCACTAAGTCGTAAACCACGCCTATTTATACAATTTATCTTATTAACATGTGATTTTTATGATATAGCCAGTGGAAACCGGTAGTTAGCTGGTTAACAACAACCAGCATCTAGTGCAGGGGTAGGCAACCTTGGTGTGCCACATGTTATTGTTTTAACCGACCTGGAAGACCAGGTGTGTTAAATTTAGGCAGTCATTGAACTGATAAATTGTCTCAGTTGGTCAGGTGTGGTGCCTAGTTGAAACAAAATCCTGCACGGAACTCCAGGAACAGAGTTGCCTATACCTGATCTAGTGGTTAATGTACAGCATGGTTCCCCAATTGGCGGCCCGCAAGTGATTTTATTTGGCCCCTCAAGTTTTCTGGGCAAAATAAATAACATTACATTTACATTTTAGTCATTTAGCAGACGCTCTTATCCAGAGCGACTTACAGTTAGTGAGTGCATACATCATTTTTTATTTTTCATACCCCCATGGGAATCGAACCCACAACCCTGGCGTTGCAAACGCCATGCTCTACCAACTGAGCTACATCCCTGCCGGCCATTCCCTCCCCTACCCTGGACGACGCTGGGCCAATTGTGCGCCGCCCCATGGGTCTCCCGGTCACGGCCGGCTACGACAGAGCCTGGATTCGAACCAGGATCTCTAGTGGCACAGCTAGCACTGCGATGCAGTGCCTTAGACCACTGCGCCACTCGGTCTAAGGCAACATAAAATACTAAAATCCCCAGGAAATCAGATCAAAAAGATTTTAATTTAGGAAATCTGTTACCAAGTATTTCCAGCATAAATAGAGAGACATAGCTATGGAATCGAAAACCAATGTAATCAAGGTTTGAAATGATTGTATTTTTGTCAAATACTAGCTAACTATATTTGTTTGGGCTTCTTGTGGTCAATTTGCATGGTACACATTTTTTATAATTATTGTCTGGCCAGGGTTTCCATTAGGAAAATGTGGCGCCGGACAACGTGACCTGGACGATTTAGATTTACCAGCCATTTGAGATACACTAAATATACAAAAGTATGTGGACACACCTTCAAATTAGTGGATTTGGCTATTTCAGCCACACCCGTTGCTGACAGGTGTATGAAATCGAGCACACAGCCATGCAATCTCCATAGACAAACATTGTCAGTAGAATGGCCTTACTGAAGAGCTCAGTGACTTTCAACAAGGCACCGTCATAGGATGCCACCATTCCAACAAGTCAGTTTGTCAAATTTCTGTCCTGCTAGAGCTGCCCCAGTCAACTGTAAGTGCTGTTATAGTTAAGTGGAAATATCTAGGAGCAACAACGTCTCAACCGCAAAGTGGTAGGCCACACAAGCTCACAGAACGGGACTGCTGAAGTGGACAGGCTAACATGCTTTTCAAACAGTTGGAGACAAACAGAGGGGTGTGTTCATAACAATTCAATTTATTATTATTATTATTATTATTATTATTATTATTAATTCAACTGTTCAACTTTGTTAGCTAGCAAATAGATCCAAGTTGGCTAAACTTGAAATATAAAGATTAGCTGGCTAATCACTAGCACGTGGGCTTGAGAGATGGTTGATGAGACCCGTGTTAATTTTCTATAGCCTAATTAATGCCTGCTACAAGAAGTTAGTCATTATTAGTGAATGTGCATTATGCATGGTTCTAGTTAAATTTGTAACAAAAAATGGCATTTTCATAGACATACTTGAAAGCCAAATCAGTGATTTTTATATATATATATATATATATATATATATATATATATATATATATATATATATATATACAGTGGGGAAAAAAGTATTTAGTCAGCCACCAATTGTGCAAGTTCTCCCACTTAAAAAGATGAGAGAGGCCTGTAATTTTCATCATAGGTACATGTCAACTATGACAGACAAATTGAGATTTTCTTTTCCAGAAAATCACATTGTAGGATTTTTAATGAATTTATTTGCAAATTATGGTGGAAAATAAGTATTTGGTCACCTACTAACAAGCAAGATTTCTGGCTCTCACAGACCTGTAACTTCTTCTTTAAGAGGCTCCTCTGTCCTCCACTCGTTACCTGTATTAATGGCACCTGTTTGAACTTGTTATCAGTATAAAAGACACCTGTCCACAACCTCAAACAGTCACACTCCAAACTCCACTATGGCCAAGACCAAAGAGCTGTCAAAGGACACAAGAAACAAAATTGTAGACCTGCACCAGGCTGGGAAGACTGAATCTGCAATAGGTAAGCAGCTTGGTTTGAAGAAATCAACTGTGGGAGCAATTATTAGGAAATGGAAGACCACTGATAATCTCCCTTGATCTGGGGCTCCACGCAAGATCTCACCCCGTGGGGTCAAAATGATCACAAGAACGGTGAGCAAAAATCCCAGAACCACACGGGGGGACCTAGTGAATGACCTGCAGAGAGCTGGGACCAAAGTAACAAAGCCTACCATCAGTAACACACTACGCCGCCAGGGACTCAAATCCTGCAGTGACAGACGTGTCCCCCTGCTTAAGCCAGTACATGTCCAGGCCCGTCTGAAGTTTGCTAGAGTGCATTTGGATGATCCAGAAGAGGATTGGGAGAATGTCATATGGTCAGATGAAACCAAAATATAACTTTTTGGTAAAAACTCAACTCGTCGTGTTTGGAGGACAAAGAATGCTGAGTTGCATCCAAAGAACACCATACCTACTGTGAAGCATGGGGGTGGAAACGGCATGCTTTGGGGCTGTTTTTCTGCAAAGGGACCAGGACGACTGATCCGTGTAAAGGAAAGAATGAATGGGGCCATGTATCGTGAGATTTTGAGTGAAAACCTCCTTCCATCAGCAAGGGCATTGAAGATTAAACGTGGCTGGGTCTTTCAGCATGACAATGATCCCAAACACACCGCCGGGCAACGAAGGATTGGCTTCGTAAGAAGCATTTCAAGGTCCTGGAGTGGCCTAGCCAGTCTCCAGATCTCAACCCCATAGAAAATCTTTGGAGAGAGTTGAAAGTCTGTGTTGCCAAGCGACAGCCCCAAAACATCACTGCTCTAGAGGAGATCTGCATGGAGGAATGGGCCAAAATACCAGCAACAGTGTGTGAAAACCTTGTGAAGACTTACAGAAAACGTTTGACCTGTGTCATTGCCAACAAAGGGTATATAACAAAGTATTGAGAAACTTTTGTTATTGACCAAATACTTATTTTCCACCATAATTAGCAAATAAATTCATAAAAAATCCTACAATGTGATTTTCTGGATTTTTTTTCCTCATTTTGTCTGTCATAGTTGACGTGTACCTATGATGAAAATTGCAGGCCTCTCTCATCTTTTTAAGTGGGAGAACTTGCACAATTGGTGGCTGACTAAATACTTTTTCCCCCCACTGTGTATATATATATATATATAAAAGCAGGTTCAACTATTTTGATAAAATAATTACATTTTTAGTGGTCTTATGGTTGTGAAAGGCGTGTTTGTGTGTGTGTGATGGATAAATGATGACTTATGAAAATACACACAGGCCAATTTAATTCCATTAAATAATGCAAATGAACCTATAGACCTTTAAGCATGAAGGTCAAATGTATTTACATCAACTGGTATTTCCATCAATGAATAAAAAGCATTATTTTGCCATGGGATTTTTTTCTCCCGGTCATTTTGGCCAGCAACAGTTTTAACTATCTGCTTTTTTTTGGGGGGGGGGGGCAAAGCCCGGCAATTGCCGGCTAACGGAAACCCTAGTTCCGGCCCTGAATATACGCTCAAGAAAAAAATTGGCCCGCGGCTGAATGTAGTTGGGACCCTTGATGTAGAGTATGTAGCTAGTAGCTTGCTAGCTAACTGATTAGCGTAGCTATGTTTTTCCTTGCTGGTTGTGTAATCCTTCTTTTGTATGTTTCAGGTCCAATGTCTTGAACAGGTAACAAATGTGGATGAGCTGGTTCCTGAAAGGGACCACCTGTCTTTTGCAGGTGGCAGCCCGCAGCACCCCAAGGCTGCCTCCCCAAAGAGGCCTCTCTTCCTCCCTAGTCAGAATCCTAACCAAGCCACGCACTCCAAGATTTGCTATTCCTCCATACTATCCTCCGGGACAACTATGGGGGATGTCATTGCCAATCAGTTGTACCAGGAGCTACAAAAAGGATACCAAGTCTATCCTAGACTTTCCTGTCGACCCTATTACAGTGACCGATATCAAACAATATCTGCGCTCTAAAGACATCCCATTCCATGATGGCTACAGCTGCTTGCACGCCCCCAGCATTTTCCTGGACTCGGCTGTGTGTGTCCCTGCGGATACAGGGAAGGAGAGCTTTACAATGTTCATTGACAAAACCACAGGCCAATTTCTGTGCAAGGAGACCCTGGTGGAGGGGAGCTGGGAGGACCTGCAGGACTGCCTGGAGGTGATGCAGAAGGAGGGCCAGGCCTCCCTCAGCCCTCACGTGCTGCTGGGCTACCCCGAGAGCCTGGAGGAGCGGGAGGAGAAGGAGCAGGAGCTCAGGGAGGTGCAGAGGATCTGGTCCAGTGCCGTGCCCTTCTCAGACCTCCCTGACGAGGAGGCGCAGCTAGTCAAAACCATGTTCCAGATCGGCAAGATCTCCAACGCCACGCTCAAAAAGTTTGCGGTGAGGTTATTCAAGCCCACCAAGAGCCTGGTGTTCCCCTGGTTCAGTGGAAGGGACTCCAGCCTGCGGGGCATCAAGCTGCTATCTGCCCAGAGCATGGAGAGCGGGACGGTAGCTTATACCGAGGCCATGGTGCCCAAGGCTGGCTCCTACCACAACCTGTTTGGGCTGCCTCTGGTGGGACGCATGGACTCCGAGGTGGTGCTGACAGGCCAGGAGGTAGACACCCTGGCAGTGAGCCAGGCCACAGGCCTGCCCAGCGTGGCTCTGCCCCGGGGTGTTAATACTCTGCCCCCAGCCCTCCTGCCCTACCTGGAGCAGTTCAAGCGGGTCACCCTGTGGCTGGGAGGGGACATGCGCTCCTGGGAGGCCTCCAAGATCTTCTCCAGGAAGCTGGGTCTTAAGCGCTGCTCCCTAGTGCGCCCGGGGGAGTTCCAGCCCTGTCCTGTGGAGGCCCTGTTCCAGGGCAGGAACCTGGCCCGTATCGTCAACGCCTCCATACCCGCCGCCCACAAGTCCATTGTGTCCTTCAGGCAGCTCAGGGAGGATGTCTACGGGGAGCTGGCCAACACTGAACAGGTGGCTGGGGTGAAGTGGACCAGGTTTCCAGAGCTCAACAGGATCATGAAGGGTCATCGCAAAGGGGAACTGACAGTCTTCACAGGTATAGCGTATAGTAGGATGACATATATTGTCATTTGATCATGTTGTTCTACACGGAGGTATATAGCTAGCTATGGTAGAATATGCTTCAAATGGGGGTTGATTTTAACCTGAGACTAGACTGAGTGAGTATTGCTTGGCTGTGTAAGTCAAATCAAAAGCAAATGATCTAACTGGCTATGTTGATAGTGGCTCTAACTTTAACGTACCTCTCCTCCCTTTTTGTTCTCCCCTCCAGGACCCACGGGCAGCGGCAAGACCACCTTCATCAGTGAGTTTGCCCTGGACCTTTGCATGCAGGGCGTCAACACGCTGTGGGGCAGCTTTGAGATCAACAACGTGCGCCTAGCCAAGATCATGCTGACCCAGTTCGCCATGCAGAGGCTGGAGGAGAACCTGGACCAGTACGACTCGTGGGCCGACAGGTTCGAGGACCTGCCCCTCTATTTCATGACCTTCCATGGGCAGCAGAACATCAAGTGAGTCCTCTGAAAGTGTTGAGTGATATGTCAATCAATAGGTGTACTGTAAAGCTTGAATTGTAAATAACTCCCTCCTCTCTCCCTCTGCAGAGCTGTGCTGGACACCATGCAACACGCTGTCTACCTCTACGACATCAGTCACGTGATCATTGACAACCTGCAGTTCATGATGGGCCAGGAGAACCTCTCTGTAGACAAGTTTGCCGTCCAGGACCACATTATCGGAGCTTTCAGGAAGTTTGCCACCAACAGCAGCTGTCACGTCACTCTGATCATCCACCCCAGGAAAGAGGAGGATGACAGAGAACTACAGACAGCGTCCATCTTTGGAACGGCCAAGGTGAGTAGAGGGTTACATCTAATACTGAATCATGTCAATATAAATGTAGACAGATAAATATAACGCTGCTTCCTTGTTTGCCTCTTTAAAGCATTGAGTGCTTTTATTACACCTGTCTTGGTGTTGGGTGGATCTCTATGTTTGATTGATAGGGGGTGCTTGTGACAACATTATCAAAAACAGTTCCATGTACTGTATGTCTATAAGTTTCACAGACCCACATTTTATTTATTTTAAATTAGATTTACCAGCCAATTTCGATCTTGTTTCATCGTTGCAACTCCCCAACGGGCTCGGGAGGCGAAGGTCGAGTCATGCGTCCTCCAAAACATGACCCGCCAAACCGCGCTTCTTAACACCCGACCGCTTAACCCGGAAGTCAGCCGTACCAATGTGTCGGAGGAAACGCTGTTCAACTGACGACCGAGGTCAGCCTGCAGGCGCCCGGCCCGCCAAAAGGAGTTGCTAGAGCACCATGAGCCAAGTAAAGCCCCCCCCGGCCAAACCCTCCCCTAACCCGGACGACGCTGGGCCAATTGTGCGCCGCCCTATGGAACTCCCAATAACGGCTGGTTGTGATACAGCCTGGGATCGAACCCTGCGATGCACCACTTGGGAGGCCCCCCAAATTCTTTTTCAATCAGAGATTCACCATAACACACGTTGTCACTGATATTTTTAACCTACAGTGATTTTTTGGGGGGTTTGTATCATTTGATTTACACAACATGCCTACCACTTTGAAGATGCAAAATATTTTTTCGTGTGAAATAAACAAGAAATAAGACAAAAAAACTACTTGAGCGTGCATAACTATTCACCCCCGCCCCAAAGTCAATACTTTGTAGAGCCACCTTTTGCAGCAATTACAGCTGCAAGTCTCTTGGGGTATGTCTCTATTAGCTTGGCACATCTAGCCTTCAAGTTAGATGGGTTCCGCTGGTGTACAGCAATCTTTAAGTCATGCCACAGATTCTCAATTGGATTGAGGTCTGGGCTTTGACTAGGCCATTCCAAGACATTTAAATGTTTCCCTTTAAACCACTCGAGTGTTGCTTTAGCAGTATGCTGAGGGTCATTGTCCTGCTGGAAGGTGAACCTCCGTCCCAGTCTCAAATCTCTGGAAGACTGAAACTGGTTTCCCTCAAGAATTTCCCTGTATTTAGCGCCATCCATCATTCCTTCAATTCTGACCAGTTTCCCAGTCCCTGACGATTTAAAAACATGTGTTCTCGGGGTGATGAGAGGTGTTGAGTTTGCGCCAGACATAGCGTTTTCCTTGATGGCCAAAAAGCTCAATTTTCGTCTCATCGGACCAGAGTACCTTCTTCCATATGTTTGGGGAGCCTCCCACATGCCTTTTGGCGAACACCAAAGTGCTTATTTTCTTCTTTAAGCAATGTCTTTTTTCTGGCCACTCTTCCGTAAAGCCCAGCTCTATGGAGTGTACGGCTTAAAGTGGTCCTATGGACAGATACTTCAATCTCCGCTGTGGAGCTTTGCAGCTCCTTCAGGGTTATCTTTGGTCTCTTTGTTGCCTCTCTGATTAATGCCTTCCTTGCCTGGTCTGTGCGTTTTGGTGGGCGGCCCTCTCTTGGCAGGTTTGTTGTGGTGCCATATTCTTTCAATTTTTTAATAATGGATTTAATGGTGCTCCGTGGGATGTTAAAAGTTTCGAATATCTTTTTATAGCACAACCCTGATCTGTACTTCTCCACAACTTTGTCCATGACCTGTTTGGAGAGCTCCTTGGTCTTCATGGTGCCGCTTGCTTGGTGGTGCCCCTTGCTTAGTGGTGTTGCAGACTCTGGGGCTTTTCAGAACAGGTGTGTGTGTGTGTATGTATATGTGTATATATATATATATATATATATATATATATATATATATATATATATACATACAGTGGGGAGAACAAGTATTTGATACACTGCCGATTTTGCAGGTTTTCCTACTTACAAAGCATGTAGAGGTCTGTAATTTTTATCATAGGTACACTTCAACTGTGAGAGACGGAATCTATGTGCGCTGTGTAAGGACATCGGGGATAGAATTGTAGACCTGCACAAGGCTGGGATGGGCTACAGGACAATAGGCAAGCAGCTTGGTGAGAAGGCAACAACTGTTGGCGCAATTATTAGAAAATGGAAGAAGTTCAAGATGACGGTCAATCATCCTCGGTCTGGGGCTCCATGCAAGATCTCACCTCGTGGGGCATCAATGATCATGAGGAAGGTGAGGGATCAGCCCAGAACTACACGGCAGGACCTGGTCAATGACCTGAAGAGAGCTGGGACCACAGTCTCAAAGAAAACCATTAGTAACACACTACGCCGTCATGGATTAAAATCCTGCAGCGCACGCAAGGTCCCCCTGCTCAAGCCAGCGCATGTCCAGGCCCGTCTGAAGTTTGCCAATGACCATCTGGATGATCCAGAGGAAGAATGGGAGAAGGTCATGTTTTCTGATGAGACAAAAATTGAGCTTTTTGGTCTAAACTCCACTCGCCGTGTTTGGAGGAAGAAGAAGGATGAGTACAACCCTAAGAACACCATCCCAACCGTGAAGCATGGAGGTGTAAACAATTCTTTGGGGATGCTTTTCTGCAAAGGGGACAGGACGACTGCACCATATTGAGGGGAGGATGGATGGGGCCATGTATCGCGAGATCTTGGCCAACAACCTCATTCCCTCAGTAAGAGCATTGAAGATGGGACGTGGCTGGGTCTTCCAATATGACAACGACCCTAAACACACAGCCAGGGCAACTAAGGAGTGGCTCCGTAAGAAGCATCTCAAGGTCCTGGAGTGGCCTAGCCAGTCTCCAGACCTGAACCCAATAGAAAATCTTTGGAGGGAGCTGAAAGTCAGTTTTTCCCAGCGACAGCCCCGAAACCTGAAGGATCTGGAGAAGGTCTGTATGGAGGAGTGGGCCAAAATCCCTGCTGCAGTGTATGCAAACCTGGTCAAGACCTACAGGAAACGTATGATCTCTGTAATTGCAAACAAAGGTTTCTGTACCAAATATTAAGTTCTGCTTTTCTGATGTATCAAATACTTATGTCATGCAATAAAATGCAAATTAATTACTTAAAAATCATACAATGTGATTTTGTGGATTTTTGTTATAGATTCTGTCTCTCACAGTTGAAGTGTACCTATGATAAAAATTACAGACCTCTACATGCTTTGTAAGTAGGAAAACCTGCAAAATCGGCAGTGTATCAAATACTTGTTCTCCCCACTGTATATACTGGGGTCATGTGACACTGAGATTGCACACAGGTGAACTTTATTTAACTAATTATGTGACTTCTGAAGGTAATTGGTTGCACCATATCTTATTTAGGGGCTTCATAGCAAAGGGGGTGAATACATATGCACGCACCACTTTTCCGTTATTAATTTTTTTAAACAAGATATTTTATTCATTTCACTTCACCAATTTGGACAATTTTGTGTATGTCCATTACATGAAATCCAAATAAAAATCAATTTAAATTACAGGTTGTAATGCAACAAAATAGGAAAAATGCCAAGGGGGATTAATACTTTTGCAAGGCACTGTATTTGTGTTGGTACTAGTAACCTTTGAAATTCCTGTCTACCAGGCCAGCCAGGAGGCGGATAACGTGCTCATCCTGCAGGAGAAGAAGCTGGTGACATGCCCCGGCCGGAGGTCCCTCCAGGTGGCCAAGAACCGTTTCGACGGAGACGTGGGCATCTTCCCTCTGGAGTTCAACAAGGCCTCGCTCACTTTCTCTGCCCCGGTCAAGGGCAAGCTCAAGCTGAGAAAGGTCAAGGGGGAGGGGTCAGATAATGAGGAGACATTAGGAGAAACTCTAAAGAAGGAGGAGACAACGGTTAAGAAGGAGAAACTAGTGAAGTTGGAGAGGCCACCCAAAGCTACCAAAACGCCCAGAGCTGTTAAGAGTCCTGCAGCAGGGAAGGGCACACCAGAGGGAGAGGGAAAGAAACAGCCATAGAGAGAAGACTTCACTCATTGATCTAAGCAAAGAACATTGTCTCAGTGTATAATGTGACAGAAAAAGGTATTGGGTCTCAGTATCATAAAATGAAGGAAAATGTATTGTTTAATATTGATGATTTGTCACCTGATTGGAAAATGTGCTTACTTATGTCACAGAAAGCTGTTATCTAAAGGAGAAAAGAGCTATGTAAAATAACGTTAGTATAATATGGATGTTGGCAATGAATGACCATTGAAGAGTACAGTATTGGCACTTGAAGTAACTACCCAGTGTTTCCAAATTTATATGAAATGATTATTAATACTGTGAAATATGAGTGAAATAGTTTTCCTTCCAAATTTTTTCAATTAAGTATGTTTAAAAAAGCAGCTTTTTTGTGTTGGAATGGTGTGGGTGTAACCCAACAACAGAATGGTGTGGGTGTATAATGGTCCTAAAGTATTCATGCAAGTAGACCACTGATTGGCCAGCTCATCCTCCTCTAAACCGCTGATCGGCCAGCTCATCCGCCTCAGGGAGATGACATCATGTTCTATGAGGAAATGGCAAGCAAGTTTCTTTTCTTCAATTTATGCTTTGGCCACAAATATGAGTATCGGACAAGTCAACAACATTATTTGCATAGGAGTTAACAGAATATTAACTTTTAAAATAGATTTTCACTGGGCAGCTACTTTAAAATAATAGTTGAAAGATAGTTGACTCACCAAAATGTTTTCTGACAGTTTTTACATTTCTACTAGTACTGTTATGTCTGCTTTTCCCCATTCCAAGATGGTGAAATTCCGTTAAGCTAAATTCTGTTAATCTATATCCTTGACTGTCCATGTTATTATATGTATTGTTATATGGTAACAGTATACTGTCATAACAGGAGCTAGGACTTCTGAGGTACAGTATTCCACAAGGATAAGCACCATCACTGTACCTGCATTGTTGCAGAATGTGAATGTTACCACTTTACCCTCTACTGACATTTTACAGTGTTGATGAACACAGATATAGTGCTGCTGCTTGTTTGCCTCATTAAAACGTCAAGCGCTTTTGTCAAAACATCTGCATCTCCAATTCTGATCACTAGGTGGTGTTTGTGATTAATCAAAATAGTTTCTGCTGTGAGTTGCCATACATACTCATGAGTGATTTATGTTCAGTAGGCCTATGTAGCTAACCTACAGCTTAGTACGTTTATGTAATACTAGTGTCAGGATGAAAATCATCAGGTTTGTGGCCCCTACTGAAACATTGTCCGAACCCCTGATGTACTGTGTCCCAATGTCATAAAATCATTACATTTTTAAACCGACCTCTACACAGACCAATTGTTTCTACATTAGATACTCACTAAAGAACACTCAATTGATTGATAAGACTGTGGAGTCTGTCAGATCCATTATGGGTGTTCCCTACACAGAGCAGTCCTGGGAAGCTCCTGGCTGGCAAGACACACAGTTTAAACACATGGCCTGTAGTCCCCCTGGGCTCTCTGGGTTGCTGCTGGAACTAAAATATTGTTCTAAGCACAGCGAATCATCCCCCCAAAATGGTATTGTGTTCTTGTAGTCTAGCCAGGGAGTTGCATGCTGTACTTGGCTTGAGAAGGAGGGAAAACCAACAGGATATCATCCACTCAATGCAAAACACAAGCAATGGAGATGGGAGTGATTTTAGTGTGTGAAACACAGCTTTGCTGAGACAGCAGCAGGGGAGACAGTTTCTGGACAGATTTGGTGCTAGGTTTTTCATTCCATAATTTCCCCCCTCAGTTCTGAGGTTTTTCTGAATGTGCCGTGTTCATGTGAATGCTTTACTGCTGTCGACGTAGGCTACAGTAACAGAACATTCCATAATGATTCCAGGCTGTGTGGTTGTGGGTCTGTGTCTGGGTGTCTTGCTGACAGTGTGGGTGCGGGACATTGGCGTTAAAAGCGTGGTTGACAGAGGCCCTTTGTGCTCTCTGGGCGTTCCTGGATGGGGATGGCAGCTCCATCACTTGCCAGCATCGGCTCCAAGGGGTAGGAAACGTACACAAACACAACTGAATTCATATGATGTCACATACACATGCTTCTACGCACACATGGTCAAAAACACACACACTGAGTCATTGCCGTAGACAACATGACTCTGTACCGGTACCCCTTGTATATAGCCTCCCTACTGGTCTTTTATTTTACTGCTGCTCTTGAATTTTTATTTTTTACTTATCTATTTTTTACTTAACACTGCATTGTTGGTTAAGTGCTTGAAAGTAAGCATTTCACTGTAAGGTCTACACCTGTTGTATTCGGCACATGTGGCAAATAACGTTTGATTTGATTTGATAATCACACATTCATGAAACCCTGAATGGTTCACATATTTTTTTTCTTCTTCATGTAACAGTTATATATTGCGTTTCAACAACAATGTTTATCAATTTCTGCAAGATCACATGTAATAGAAACCTGCTGTTGAATGGACTGAGTACATAGGAAACAATAAGCAGTGAATAAGAGGACCGTTTTGAAAGAGGAATTATGATCAGCTACTGACATCCCCAGTTCCTCAAAGTCCTGAAGCTTTGTTTGTTCTTTTGTATTATGCTTTGTTAAATCTGATCTGAGCTCTGTGCTCATTCAAAATTACTGACATCTGGAGAAGGAGAGTAGGATAGAACAATTTCAGACCAGCAACTTAATTATGGAGGAGGCAAAGAATGAGATCTTTGTAACCACAGGAATTTCACTTAATCAAACTCAAGTGTCTGACAGTTTCAGAATATAAGGGAAATTGGCAATAGCTCATAGTCTAATCACGCAGATTTAAAGGTTTATCTTCAGAGAGCTTATACGTTATGTAAATGTACTGTACACTTTATCTAACACAAGCATAGAGCCATACAGATATAGCAGGAATCTCAACAATCTCGTTTACCCCATGGAAGCCTCTACTGCTCTTTTCTAATACAAGGTTGGTGGGGATGGATATTCATAGTTCTTTGGTCCATTATCTTCCCTTCATTTTGAGATCAAGGCAACTATGTGGACAAAGCTGGAGGTACAGCGCCTTCAGAAAGTATTCCCACCCCTTGACTTTTTCCACATTTTGTTGTGTTACCGCCTGAATTTAAAATGGATGAAGTTTTGTGTCACTGGCCTACACACAATACCCCATAATATCAAAGTGGAATTATGTTTTTAGAAATTCTTACAAATTAATAAAAAAATGAAAGGCTGAAATGTATTGAATCAATAAGTATTCAACCCCTTTGTTATTTTTTATTTTTATTTTATTTCACCTTTATTTAACCAGGTAAGCCAGTTGAGAACAAGTTCTCATTTACAACTGCGACCTGGCCAAGATAAAGCATAGTAGTGCGATAAAAACAACAACACAGAGTTACATATGGGGTAAAAAAACATAAAGTCAAAAAAAATACAACAGAAAATATATATACAGTGTGTGCAAATGTAGCAAGTTATGGAGGTAAGGCAATAAATAGGCTATAGTGCAAAATAATTACAATTAGTATTAAGGCAAGCCTAAATATATTCAGGAGTAGAAATGTGCTTAAAAAGTCACATAATAAGTTGTGTGCAATAATAGTGTTTAACATGATTTTTGAATGACTACCTCATTGCTGTACCCCATACATACAATTACAGTGGGGAAAAAAGTATTTAGTCAGCCACCAATTGTGCAAGTTCTCCCACTTAAAAAGATGAGAGAGGCCTGTAATTTTCATCATAGGTACACATCAACTATGACAGACAAATTGAGAAAAAAATTCCAGAAAATCACATTGTAGGATTTTTAATGAATTTATTTGCAAATTATGGTGGAAAATAAGTATTTGGTCACCTACAAACAAGCAAGATTTCTGGCTCTCACAGACCTGTAACTTCTTCTTTAAGAGGCTCCTCTGTCCTCAACTCGTTACCTGTATTAATGGCACCTGTTTGAACTTATTATCAGTATAAAAGACACCTGTCCACAACCTCAAACAGTCACACTCCAAACTCCACTATGGCCAAGACCAAAGAGTTGTCAAAGGACACCAGAAACAACATTGTAGACCTGCACCAGGCTGGGAAGACTGAATCTGCAATAGGTAAGCAGCTTGGTTTGAAGAAATCAACTGTGGGAGCAATTATTAGGAAATGGAAGACATACAAGACCACTGATAATCTCCCTCGATCTGGGGCTCCACGCAAGATCTCACCCCGTGGGGTCAAAATGATCACAAGAACGGTGAGCAAAAATCCCAGAACCACACGGGGGGACCTAGTGAATGACCTGCAGAGAGCTGGGACCAAAGTAACAAAGCCTACCATCAGTAACACACTACGCCGCCAGAGACTCAAATCCTGCAGTGCCAGACGTGTCCCCCTGCTTAAGCCAGTACATGTCCAGGCCCGTCTGAAGTTTGCTAGAGTGCATTTGGATGATCCAGAAGAGGATTGGGAGAATGTCATATGGTCAGATGAAACCAAAATATAACTTTTTGGTAAAAACTCAACTCGTCGTGTTTGGAGGACAAAGAATGCTGAGTTGCATCCAAAGAACACCATACCTACTGTGAAGCATGGGGGTGGAAATATCATGCTTTGGGGCAGTTTTTCTGCAAAGGGACCAGGACGACTGATCCGTGTAAAGGAAAGAATGAATGGGGCCATGTATCGTGAGATTTTGAGTGAAAACCTCCTTCCATCAGCAAGGGCATTGAAGATGAAACGTGGCTGGGTCTTTCAGCATGACAATGATCCCAAACACACCGCCCGGGCAACGAAGGAGTGGCTTCGTAAGAAGCATTTCAAGGTCCTGGAGTGGCCTAGCCAGTCTCCAGATCTCAACCCCATAGAAAATCTTTGGAGGGAGTTGAAAGTCCGTGTTGCCCAGCGACAGCCCCAAAACATCACTGCTCTAGAGGAGATCTGCATGGAGGAATGGGCCAAAATACCAGCAACAGTGTGTGAAAACCTTGTGAAGACTTACAGAAAATGTTTGACCTG